ATGACCCAGAATGGACTTAAAATGCGTTGAACAGCCTTAAAAACTGGCCCAAAATGGCTTAAAATGGCCTCAAAATGGCTCAGAATTGCTCAGAATGGCTCAAAATGGACTTAAAATGCGTTGAAATGCCTTAAAAATTGGCGCAAAATGGCCCAAAATGGCTCAGAATTGCTCAGAATGGTTCAGAATGGCTTAAAATGGGCTGAAAATGGCTGAAAATTCGACTCACTACGATGGTTTTCTATAAAACTTCTCAAATATTCAATGAATCATCGAGTTCTTTTTTGTTTTACAAATTTTAAGGATTATTTCTTAACCAGGAACTTTAGTTGATCAAAAAAAGCAGAAGAAATGAGGATTTTTGAGATTTTTCTACTGAAAATCGACTGCTTTAGCTTAGATTGAAAGGAAATTGGAAAAAATTGGAAACGGAAATTCTCGAGAATTATCATGTCAGCCTATATTACATGAAAAATGAAGGAAATTTTCGTTTTGAGAATCAAAATAAAAGAGTTTCCAAAGGCGGATTGGCTTGTAGCTGAAAGTACACAGCTTTCCGTAAACGAAAGTACGTAAACGAAGTACACAGCTTTCCGTAAACGAAAACCAATCTGACGCACTCGCGAAAGCGATTCGATTCGGGAGAAATTCGAGAGATTTTGAGCCACTTTGAGGCCATTTTGAGCCATTTTTGGGCCATTTTGAGCCATTTTTGGGCCATTTTTGAGGCATTTCAACGCTTTTTAACCCCTTTCAGTCATTTTGAGCCATTTTGAGCCATTGTGAGCCATCCTGAGCCATCCTGAGCCATCTTGAGCCATTCTGAGCCATCCTGAGCCATCTTGAGCCATTCTGAGCCATTTTGAGGCCATTTTTGAAGAATTTTGAAGATATTTGAAGAAAATTCGATTTCTTTTGAAGAAAAATTTTGAAGAAAATTCGACTTCTTTTACGATTCTATCTTTTTGAGAGCATTTTAAGGCAATTTTGTGACAAGAATTCTAGTGAATTTCTCTCAAAATGACTTAAAATGGCTTAAAATGGCCTAAAATGGCTTAAAATGGCTTAAAATGCATTGAAATGCGTCGAAATGCCTTCAAAATGGCCTCAAAATGGCTCAAAGTCTTTAAAAAGTAGATTTATTCTAAGCTTCTTGTGCTTTTTGCGTTTAAATCTGTAAACGCAGCCTTTCTAGTGGATTGAAGCGCTCGATTTTCTCTCGAATCTCTCTCTCTCTCTTGAATCTCTCTCGAATCGAATCGGATTCGTCGAGTGCGTCAGATTGGCTTCGTTTACGGAAAGCTGTGTACTTTGAGCTAAACAGTACTTTCATCGAAACGCACAGCTTCTAGTGGTCTTGATTCTTTGCGCAGTGCAAGGGCAGTCTAACGTGTAAACGCACTCCTTTTGGCACACTAAATGGCAAACGAAATCAAAATATTGCCGGCTTTCGTTTAGGCTCAAAAATAGTGCCTTAAAAATGGCTCAAAATGGGCTCAGGATGGGCCAGAATGGCTCAAGAAGGCCATAAAATGGCTCAGGATGGCTCATGATGGCTCAGAATGGCTCCAAAATGGCTCAGAATTGCTCAAAATGGTTCAAAATGGCTCAAAATGGTTCAAAATGGCTCAGCATGGCTCAAAATTGAGCGAAATTCGCTAAATAGGGTTGATAAATCAAAGAAAACCAAAAAGAATTGGGTAATTAAACAAAAAAGGGCGAGTAAATGAAACGAGAAACTCTTGGAAATCGCGTAAAATTGCTGAAATTGCTGAAATTGCTGAAATTGCCTAAAATTGCTGAAATTTCCGAAATTTGCAACTTTTTAAGCATTTTATCCTTTAGAAAAATTCAAATTTGAGTCAAAATCTAGCAAAATTCAGCAAATTCAGCAAAATCCAGTCAAAATTCAGTTCAAATTCAACAAAATCCGGTGAAAATCCAACAAATTCAACAAACAAAGCAAACAAACAAACAAATCAGTCAAAATTCAGGCAAAATTCAACAAAATTGAGTCAAAATTGGACCAAAGGCAGCTAAAATTCAACAAAATTCAGCAAATCCAGTCAAAATCCAGTCAAAATCCAGTCAAAATTGAGTCAAAATTCAACAAATTCAACAAAATTGAGTCAAAATTGGACCAAAGGCAGCTAAAATTCAACAAAATTCAGTCAAAATCCAGTCGAAATCCATTCAAAATTCAACAAATTCAGCAAATTCAGCAAATTCAGCAAATCCAGTCAAAATCCAGTCGAAATCCAGTCAAAATTCACGAAATTCAACAAAATTGAGTCAAAATTGGTCCAAAGGCAGCTAAAATTCAACAAAATTGAGTCAAAATTCAGCAAATTCCGCAAATCCAGTCGAAATCCAGTCAAAATTCAACAAATTCAACAAATCCTTTCAAAATTCGACAAACTCAGTCAAATTTCAGTGAAAATTGAATCAATTCAGATAAGAGAAGATTTTAAATCATTCAAAAATCATTTAAAACTTCAAATTTATATCTAAATTTTCAATTTTTAGATAAAAGACGGGAAATGGACGGCCAACGTTGACATTAGACGATGTTTCAATCAACAAACAAGTAAGGGATTTTAAGGGAACATTGACATTAGACGATGTTTCAATCAACAAACAAGTAAGGGATTTTAAAAGAACAAACGAAGATCAACAAAAAAGAATAAAAAAGAATAAAAAGAATAAAAAAGAATAAAAAGAATAAAAAAGAATAAAAAGAATAAAAAAACCTAAATTAAAATCTCGATATTTCTTTCTAATTTCTAGAATTCGAATGTAGATTCAATGAACTCGAAAGAACGAACGAAAGAACGAAAGAAATGAATTCGAAAGAATGACTTCATTTCTAAATAGACTCTAGTGAATTCATTTCTCTTTGGAGATTCATTAAGATTTCGTTTCTTTTCAAAGTTTATTTCAAAACAAAAACACTTGAAAAAAAGGTTTTTTCTGTTGAAAATAAGCTTTGGAGCGAAGCGAACCGGAGCGAATTTTTTCTCCAACTTGCAGCTCATCTTTAATCACCTTAAACTTGTCCGATGAGGAACATTTAATAAGATTTGAATAGCTTAAAACGTCAGCTTTTAGAAACTATTTGTTTTATTAAAAGTTGTTAACAAAAACCTATCTAAAATCGGGTTGCAAGTTGGTCAAAAACTTATTGGTGGGGTCAATTTCTTGGCCAACTTGCAGCTCATTTTTAATTATTTTAAACTTGTCCGATCAAGAACATTTAATAAGATTTAAATAGCTTAAAACGTCAGCTTTTAGAAACTATTTGTTTTATCAAAAGTTGTTAACAAAAACCCATCTAAAATCGGGTTGCAAGTTGGTCAAAAACTTGACGATTATCGGCGGGGGTCAATTTTTTGGCCAACTTGCAGCTCATTTTTAATTATTTTAAACTTGTCCGATCAAGAACATTTAATAAGATTTGAATAGCTTAAAATGTCAGCTTTTAGAAACTATTTGTTTTATTAAAAGTTGTTAACAAAAACCTATCTAAAATCGGGTTGCAAGTTGGTCAAAAACTTATTGGTGGGGTCAATTTCTTGACCAACTTGCAGCTCATTTTTAATTATTTTAAACTTGTCCGATCAAGAACATTTAATAAGATTTAAATAGCTTAAAATGTCAGCTTTTAGAAACTATTTGTTTTATTAAAAGTTGTTAACAAAAACCTATCTAAAATCGGGTTGCAAGTTTTCAATAGAGATTCATTAGATTTCTTTTCATTTCAGTTTATTTCAAAACAAAAACACTTGAAAAAAAGGGTTTTTTTCTGTTGAAAATAAGCTTTGGATTAAAAAAGCTCAAAATTCAGATCAAAATAGCTAATCAAGTTGAAAAGAAACACTTCAAACATTCAAAAATGGCAGTGTTTCACAGAAATTCAGTCCTCAGGGTAACTAGAAAGTCCAAATTCAAAAAGCTAAAGATTAACTTTAAATGAAAAAGACTTTAGTAGATTAATAATGCCAAGAATTAGAGCTTTTAAATAGTATATAATACAGCCTAGTTTCTATGAAAAGTTTTTTCCGTAAAGGCTTTTCGATAAAGGTTTTTCGATAAAGATTTTTCGGTAAAGGTTTTCTAATTCTCGTATAGAAATTTGGTTATAGAAAAGTCGAATTAGAGCTCATTTATAAGAAAATAAAGAAAATTCAAGAAAAGAAATCAAAGTTGAACCGCCAAATTTCGTTACGAGTCTCGGAGTTTAGGAAGCTTGGGAGTTTCTATTTTACTCTAGAACTCGACCCCCAGTAATCAGATGGACTTGTAATTGATTTTAAAATCATCTTCATTAAATTTGGTTATAGAAAAGTAGAATCTATTTCGTATATCCATGTATAAGAACATAAAGAAAATTCGTGTCAAAGTTGAACCTCCAAATTCCATTAACTCGGAGTTTGGGGACTTTTCTATTTTACTCTATAACTCGACTCCCAGTAATCAGCTGGACTTGAGGTTGGGTTTAAAATGATTCTCATTAAATTTGGTTATAGGAAAGTCAAATTTATTTTATATACTCATTTATAAGAACATAGAGAAAATTTGTGTCAAAGTTGAACTACCCACCTGCAAAATCTAATCAACTTTGGCGGTCTATAACTCGAGGTATAGGAATTGAATCGACTTGTAATTGCTTTTAAAATGATCCTCATTAAATTTGACTAAAGAAAAGTAGAATTTATTTTGTATACTCATTTATAAGAACATAGAGAAAATTCGTGTCAAAGTTGAACCTCCAAATTCCGGAGTTTGGGAAGCTTGGGAGTTTCTATTTTACTCTATAACTCGACTCCCAATAATCAGCTCGAATTGAAATTGATTTTAAAATGATCCTCATTAGATTTGGTTATAGAAAAGTCGACTTTCTATTGAAGGTTTTTCCGGTAAAGGTTTTCGAATTCTCGTAATTGTTGACTGTTGTTGACTGTTGACTAAAAGGTGTCCATAATTGTTGAATTCAATTTTCAATGAGAATTCAGGATAAAAGTAGAGAATAGTTTTTTATTGAAAGATATTTGGGTTAAGTTTTGCTTGAGAAATTTTCAAATTAACAATCAAAATTCGCACGTTTAGCCATTACCGATCTTTATCTCGAAGTGAGAGATCAAGGCACTGGAAAGAAAGGATCCGCGCAGATCAGGTACGAGGATTTCGATCAAATGTTAAAGGGATTTAAATTTGAAATTGGAAGAATAAGAATTTGAGAGCTGATAAAGAAAAAAATGGATTTTTACGGTTAACGGCGGGGTGGTAGGTGGCGAACTTTTCTCCAACTTGCAGCTCATTTTTAATCGCCTTAAACTTCTCCGATCAGGAAGTTTTAATAAGATTTAAATAGCTTAAAACGTTAGCTTTCAAAAACCATTTGTTTTATTAAAAGTTGTTAACAAAAACCTATCTAAAATCGGGTTGCAAGTTTTCAATCGAGATTCATTAAGATTTTTTTCATTTCAGTTTATTTCAAAACAAAACACTTGCAAAAAGGTTTTTTCTGTTGAAAACAAGCTTTGGCTTAAACTGCTTTCAAATCCAGATCAAAATAACTAAAGAATTTGAAAGCTGATACAGAAAAAAATAGATTTTTACGGTTAACGGCGGGGTGGTAGGTGGCGAATTTTTGGCCAACTTACAGCTTATTTTTAATCACCTTAAACTTGTCCGATCCGGAACATTTAATAAGATTTGAATAGCTTAAAACGTCAGCTTTTAGAAACTACTTGTTTTATTAAAAGTTGATAACAAAAACCTATTTAAAATTGGGTTGCAAGTTGGTCAAAAACTTATCGGCGGGGGTCAATTTCTTAACCAACTTGTAGCTCATTTTTAATCACCTTAAACTTGTCCGATGAGGAACATTTAATAAGATTTGAATAGCTTAAAACGTCAGCTTTCAGAAACTATTTGTTTTATGAAAAGTTGTTAACAAAAACCTAGCTAAAATTGGGTTGCAAGTTGGTCAAATCCCGCCGATATTCACTGTCGCCGGCGTTAATCGTAAAGGTTCGAAACAATGAGTTTAATTGCTTTTTTCAGAAAACTTGTATTCATTTTCGATTCATTATATTATTATGAATGAATATTTCAACAATTTAGACACGATCCACTCTCAACGGGCTTCCAAATCGTTCCACTAAAGCCTGGATATACAATAAACACTACAAAACTTTATTTGGCTGTATTTCAGGTGAAAAAAAAATAGGATTTAGCTGAGAAAGTCAATCAAAATTGATTAAAATCGATTAAAATAGATGAAAATCAAAGAAAATCGATGAAAATTCGATGAAAATCGATGAAAATCGATGAAAATCGATGAAAATCGATGAAAATCGATGAAAATCGATGAAAATCCGATCGAAATCGATTAAAATCGATCAAAATTCATTAAAATCGATCAAAATCCAATCAAAATCGATTAAAATCCGATCAAAATCAATCAAAATCGATCAAAATCTGATCAAAATCGATGAAAATCGATGAAGATCAATCAAAATCGATCAAAATCGATCAAAATCCTTTAAACATCGATCAAAATCAATCCAAATCGATCAAAATCTATTCATTAAACATTTATTGAACTAAAAACCACTGAATCTAACTTAAATAGTCTAGATTTTAAAGAGAAAATGTCAAAATTTGAATTAAAAGAGCAATTTCAGGATTTTATAATGAAAAAGCTTTCATTCTCGAGTCATTCAACCAAGAAAAAAGTCGATTTTGAGAGAATTTCTCAAAAAAAGGAGCATTTCCGGCTTTATTCTTGAGGAAATCTCAATGACTGATTCAGAAAGGAAAGCAAAATATTAAAAGAATAGTAAAAAGACTTTAAATGAAGTTGAACTAAAGAACTGAAGACTTTTTGGATATGAATTTTTCATGCAATTTCCTTGAGTAGTGGGGAAAATGAAAATTTTACCCCCGGCTTGAACATTCTAGTTTTGGTCACATGCTATGTGAAAATGCCACAGCTAAGCTGTGCAACTTTAGCTTTAGCTTTAGCCTACTTTTCATACCCCACCTATTCCCTACCCCACCTATTCCACATTTGCCCCACCACAGGACGCCGAAATACAACGAACGCTACGATTCAACATCCATAGAATTTGTTACAGATTATGATGGGCGGCAGAATGATACGATCATTCATACGATCATTGATACAACCATTGATACAATCAGTCTGCAGCCAGACGATCATTCTGCCGATCATTATTTCATACGATCATTCATACGAAGCCTAGAGATGGGGTAAAGATTGAAAAGGTTCAGGTAAACGCCTGTGGGTTCCAATTTTGCGCCCAATTTGGCGTTGTGAGGGACAAAATGATACTATCAAATTGTCATTCATGTGGGGAGCAGAAGTGGAATGACGTTTCCAGTTTTGCCCCCATTCTAGATGTATCAATTTGCCCCTTCGCCAACTGTTTAGTCATAAAGGGTGGGGGCAGGACTGGACCTATTCCACATTTGCCACCCACTGGACGCCGAAATACAACGAACGCTACGATTCAAAATCTACCCCGACAGAATTTTATACACATTGGGGGATTTTATACATAATGGGCAGAATGATACAATCATTGATACAATCATTCTGCCGATCATTATTTCGTGGAGGACAAGAATGAAAAGCCTAGAGTATCAATTTGCCACCTCCCCCAATTGTTCCATAAAGGGTGGGGGCTAATCCGGAAGCAGGAGCAGTGGGGAGCAGAACTGGAGTGATGGTGGGGAGCAGAACTGGAGTGATGGTGGGGAGCAGAACTAGAGTGATGGTGGGGAGCAGAACTAGAGTAGTGGTGGGGAGCAGAACTGGAGTGATGGTGGGGAGCAGAACTAGAGTAGTGGTGGGGAGCAGAACTAGAGTAATGGTGGAGAGCAGAACTAGAGTAGTGGTGGGGAGCAGAACTGGAGTGATGGTGGGGAGCAGAACTGGAGTAATGGTGGAGAGCAGAACTAGAGTAGTGGTGGGGAGCAGAACTAGAGTAATGGTGGGGAGCAGAACTAGAGTGATGGTGGGGAGCAGAACTAGAGTGATGGTGGAGAGCAGAACTAGAGTAGTGGTGGGGAGCAGAACTGGAGTGATGGTGGGGAGCAGAACTAGAGTAGTGGTGGGGAGCAGAACTGGAGTGATGGTGGGGAGCAGAACTGGAGTAATGGTGGAGAGCAGAACTAGAGTAGTGGTGGGGAGCAGAACTAGAGTAATGGTGGGGAGCAGAACTAGAGTGATGGTGGGGAGCAGAACTAGAGTGATGGTGGAGAGCAGAACTGGAGTGATGGAGAACTGTTTAATTTTCCCAAAATTTCTCACATTTCCTCACATTTCCGGTTTTTTTTTCTTAAAAATCTCAATGAACAATTCAAAAATGAAATGAAATTAGAAAGAAGAAGGATTAAAATGAATTTGAACTAGAGAAGTGATCCAACTGAAGACGGAAGACTTTTTAGATATGAATTTTTCATGTAATTTTCTTGAGTAACAAAGAAAAAGAAGGTTTTATCATCAAAAATATGTCTAGAATGGCTGACGAAAGAGCTTTTAAACGAATATTTTCTATATAGATGTTCTATATAGATTTTAAAAACGAATTTCTAGGATCCCCACCACTCGGCCACTGATGGCGAGCTGGAGATGCGATGTGTGGGAAGTGAGCGGCCTTTGAGGGCACAGATCCACTCATACGCTGTCAGGTAAGAGTTTTTTGGAATAGTGAAAGATTTGCATACAATGAGTATCATCAATTTTCCAAATCCTTGCCCTAATTAGTCATCTGAATGTTCTAAGAGATTGGGAAAAGCGTAAGAAAGCCAATCTAGAAGTCAGTCTTAGCGCCAGACCATATTTAATGAGTTTCAGTGAAATTTCTCAAGAATTATTTCACTTAAACTGAGTAGAGGATTCCAATTTCGTTCATCAACATAAAAGAGAGAGACTCAAAGAGATTCAATCAAGAGAAAATCCTCAATCTCATGAGTATCCGAGCGACAATCGACTCTCAACTTTGAGAGGTTATATAAAAAAGTTGAGAGGTTAAATCGATTAGATAATGAGCAGCATTTTAGAAGACTTTCTTACGATTTATCTCCAGAAAAATCAGAATGATTGATTGAATTCTGGTGAATTTAAGCTCTCTGAAGTGAGGCTGTGAGGCTGAAGTGAGGCTGAAGGCTTGTGAGCCATCCTGTGCTGACTATTCATTTTCAAATCAGCTAGAAAATAGGCTAGTAGGCAGAAATTGGAAAAAAAATAGAAAATAGGCAGAAAATAGGTAGAAAATAGGCCTTTTTAAACACCACCTTTATCCAAAAGGATCCCCGAATCAGTTAGGAAAGAGCCAGGTCAACTCAAACTGACCAAATTGGTTTAGCAGAGGATTTACCTTGTCGAGCTTACAAAGATCGTTCAAAGCTTACAAAGATACACGACAGGACACATGACAAGCTAGAAAAAGGCTAGAAATCTTCTACCTTTATCCAAAAGGATCCCTGAATCAGTTAGGAAAGAGCCAGATCAGCTCAAACTGCTCAAATTGGTTTAGCAGAGGATTTACCTTGTCCCTGGTTAATAGAGATCGTTTAATTAGCCAGTTTAAGAAAGTTACTTGTCACTTCTTGTCATTGCTTGTGATTTCTTGTCATCTCTTATCATTATTACCCTTTTAAACACCACCCTGTTACCCTTTTAAACTGTGGTGTTCTTCAGAGTTACCCTCAATTTTATCAGCTTCCTGTTACCCTTCCTGTTACCTGTCACCCTTCCTGTTACTGTGGTGTTCTTCAGAGTTACCCTCAATTTTATCAGCTTCCTGTTACCGTCAAATTCTTCAGAGTCGGTGACACAATGACTGTGGACATTCCAGAGAGTTGGACTGAGAAGTGTCATGTGATTCGGTTAAAGGTAAATTTTAAGAAATTCTCTAAAGCGAAATTCTCTCTAAAGAAATTCTCTAAATTCTTCTCAAAAGCGAAAACGGAGAGAAACATTTAGTGGCTACGAAAGCTGAATCGCGGAGGGGATTCTCGTGAGCGCTTAATGGTGATCCCCAAAACGGATTCGAGTTCGGAGAGTGGCGAGTTGAATCTCGCATTTCTTCACCCAATCAACTACTCATCGCAGTACACGGTGGGAGAGCGTGTCACTGTGAAAGCGAGTGTACAAGATGATACGTACAACTATATGGTGAGGAGTTTATATTCAAGAAAATAAGAAGAGCAAGTTAGTTTTTGTAAGGGGAGATTTGTTCTGGATTATTGTTATTATTGTTATTGATTGTTATTGTTGTTTTTGATTTGATATAAGGGATTTGAGATAATAGATTTGATATAAGGGCTTAAAAGCTTAAAAGATAATGACTAAATAATGGCACCAATGAGAAAAGTGAACTTTTGGTGATAAATCTAACGATAATCTGATGCCTAATCAAGCCTACAAGCGGTAAATTGAAAACCGTATTTTCTCTAATAGTAATGCACCCAAGCGAGCCGAGTTGATGACGATTTTACGGTTTCCAAGCTTTTGCAGAGGCTCAACACTCTAATCCCCTAGAAGATCTCATCGTCAGCTACATTTTCTGACCCCACATCGATAGGTTCTGATAAGCGGTTCTCGAGATTTCGAGGAATTTAGACGACGCTCAGGGTGCACTACTATTAGAGAAAATACGGTAACAGATTTGATAGAAGGGATTTGATATAGAGGATTTGATATAACGGATTTGATATAACGAATTTCATACAACGATTGATTCTAGATGTTTCTCTAAAAAGAATAAAGGTTAAAATTATCAAATTTCCCTAGAAAAGCAAAGAAAATATTAGAAAAACTGTAAAATTCTTAAAAATTTAGAAGATGTGATTATTTTAAAAGTTTAAAACAAACTTTAAAACAACGGTCAAATGCCAATTCCAATTCCAAAGCCGGATTTTGGAGCTAATCAAAAAAAACACCGTGTACAAACAGTGCCGGCCTTTTAAAATAAAGCCTTTTAAAATTAACTTTATTTGTGTTTCTAGAAAATTGGCTTTCTCTTTGTGTTTCTAGAAAAAAATTGGCTATTTACTGAATTTTTTCTGTCATTTAGAACCAATCTAAGATGAGAAAAGCTAAAAAAAAACGAAAAATGGCTTAAAAAGAGGTTAACTCTTTTCTTGGAGCTTTTCTTGTCACCAATTCTATTTTAAATGATCCCAAAGTATGCAAAATGTAGATAATTCTATTCTGCATTCAAATTCAATGAGATTTTTTTGAATTTAAAGATTTAAAAGAGGAATTTCATAAAGAAATCCTTAAAAACTCGGCTTTTTTTTATTTTTTCAGAAATCAGCTAAACTTACATAGAAATAAATGAATAAAGAAAAGAAAAAAAAACAAAGAAATCGAATAATCAATGCAAAAAGAGTTGGACAGAGTAAATGGACGGAAATAAATGGGAAAACAATTAGAGAATTGGTATTTAAGCGACTTGGGACTAATACTAATACGTTCCGAAAAAGCGCCTCTTTTAGAAAATTTCACAATAAGATTTTCACAGCTTGTTCTTGCTACACTAAGCTCATCAAGCTCAAGCTACATTAAGCTCATCAGGCCCAAGCTCAAGCTACACTAAGCTCATCAGGCTCAAGCTCAAGCCACACCAAGCTCATCAGGCTCAAGCTCAAGCCACACCAAGCTCATCAGGCCCAAGCTCAAGCTACACTAAGCTCATCAGGCTCAAGCTCAAGCCACACCAAGCTCATCAGGCTCAAGCTCAAGCTACACTAAGCTCATCAGGCTCAAGCTCAAGCTACACTAAGCTCATCAGGCCCAAGCTCAAGCTACACTAAGCTCATCAGGCTCAAGCTCAAGCCACACCAAGCTCATCAGGCTCAAGCTCAAGCTACACTAAGCTCATCAGGCTCAAGCTCAAGCCACACCAAGCTCATCAGGCTCAAGCTCAAGCTACACTAAGCTCATCAGGCTCAAGCTCAAGCCACACCAAGCTCATCAGGCTCAAGCTCAAGCTACACTAAGCTCATCAGGCTCAAGCTCAAGCTACACTAAGCTCATCAGGCCCAAGCTCAAGCTACACTAAGCTCATCAGGCTCAAGCTCAAGCCACACCAAGCTCATCAGGCTCAAGCTCAAGCTACACTAAGCTCATCAGGCTCAAGCTCAAGCCACACCAAGCTCATCAGGCTCAAGCTCAAGCTACACTAAGCTCATCAGGCTCAAGCTCAAGCCACACCAAGCTCATCAGGCTCAAGCTCAAGCTACACTAAGCTCATCAGGCTCAAGCTCAAGCCACACCAAGCTCATCAGGCTCAAGCTCAAGCTACACTAAGCTCATCAGGCTCAAGCTCAAGCCACACCAAGCTCATCAGGCTCAAGCTCAAGCTACACTAAGCTCATCAGGCTCAAGCTCAAGCCACACCAAGCTCATCAGGCTCAAGCTCAAGCTACACTAAGCTCATCAGGCTCAAGCTCAAGTTACACTTCAAAGGCTAGGCTATTGCTCCTAGGCTATTGCTCCTAGGCTATTGCCTCTAGGCTATTGCTCCTCCTAAATCTCTGAACTAAACGTTTCAAGCATAAAAGTGCTAAGTCGACTTTCAAATTCCGTAAACTATCGTAATCTGCCTACCAGTTTCCATACAATTAGCTCAATTTTCGTAAAATTCGATTAGGAAATCACTAGGCTGAGAAAATGATAAAAAAATTGAGCTAAATGAATAGAAATCGGTTAGATTTTCAATGATTTTAGCTAAATTCTTGATCATTGAAAGCTTTAGAGGATCACTCGAATTGCTCTAAATTTACTTTAGTCTTTTTTTTCTCTCAAAAAAACGTTCAAAATGACTTTATGAGTGTCGTGAAATGGCCACTGAGCAAATAGAAAAGCGCTTTTTGAAGTTTTTTGCTGTCAAATGTCAGAATGTTTTTGCTTTTGTTTGCCAAAAAAAGCATCGTTTTTGATCAAAGCTTTTAACCAAAATCATAAAAGCATCGTTTTATTGGATTTAACGCTGATTCAAGCCAACATCAGCCATCAACATCATCAACAACAGCCAACAGAGATCTCAGCCAAGAGAGCCAACAACAGACAACAGACAACAGCCAAGCGATACCGAATAATCAAAGCGTTCTTTAAACTTAGAACTTTATAATACAAATTAGAGAGATAAAATAAGATTTTTGCTTTTGAAACGTCATCATCTTTTTCCCTCTTCTATTTTTGAATTCTTTAACAATTCATATCCATCTTTTTTCTCATTGTTGAAAATTCTTTTCTCTTAAAAACAAAGGAAAGATGATTTTTGAAGCGTTAGTACAAATTTTGAAAAGAAAAGGGAAGAAAATGATTTCTTTTGGGTCTTTTTTTCTAAGAGTAAACGGATTTGGACTAGAATTTGGGTTAAGTCAAAGAGAGTTTGATATCTTGCCATCTCTTTGGATATCCTGCTCTCTCTCACACCCCGACAACTCGACTCAACTCCTCCAACGTATTAGAGACGAGTCCTGTGACTGACTGACCTGACGATGACTGACCTGAACTGCAGTTGTATAGACTCGGAAGATCTATCTTTGTTTACAGTAGTACGATAAGACGAATAGATTACAAATGAGTGAAAGGGGAAGGGAGTGAGAGCCTCAGCCTCAGCCTAAGCCTAAGTCTAAGCCTCAGCCTAAGTCTAAGCCTCAGCCTAAGTCTAAGCCTCAGCCTAAGTCTAAGCCTAAGCCTAAGTCTAAGCCTCCGCCTCAGCCTAAGCCTAAGTCTAAGCCTCAGCCTAAGCCTAAGCCTAAGTCTAAGCCTCAGCCTAAGCCTAAGCCTAAGCCTAAGCCTAAGTCTAAGCCTAAGCCTAAGCCTAAGCCTAAGCCTAAGCCTAAGTCTAAGCCTCAGCCTAAGCCTAAGCCTAAGTCTAAGCCTCAGCCTCAGCCTAAGCCTAAGTCTAAGCCTCAGCCTCAACCTAAGCCTAAGTCTAAGCCTCAGCCTAAGCCTAAGCCTAAGCCTAAGCCTAAGCCTAAGCCTAAGCCTAAGCCTAAGCCTAAGCCTAAGCCTAAGCCTAAGCCTAAGCCTAAGCCTAAGCCTAAGCCTAAGCCTAAGCCTAAGCCTAAGCCTAAGCCTAAGCCTAAGCCTAAGTCTAAGCCTCAGCCTAAGCCTAAGCCTAAGTCTAAGCCTCAGCCTCAGCCTAAGCCTAAGTCTAAGCCTCAGCCTCAACCTAAGCCTAAGTCTAAGCCTCAGCCTCAGCCTAAGCCTAAGCCTAAGCCTAAGCCTAAGCCTAAGCCTAAGCCTAAGTCTAAGCCTAAGCCTAAGCCTAAGTCTAAGCCTAAGCCTAAGCCTCAGCCTCAGCCTCAGCCTCAGCCTCAGCTGTAAATGTGTCCTCCTAGCCGATCCCAAGGGCCGCATCTTCTCAGCAATGAAAGGGAGCACAGGGGACACATTTATATAAGAATAGACAAATCGTTTCAAGAATAACAACAAACATAATAACAATCATGACAAAATTTTGCGCAAAAATATTTTTACCGAGCAGTAAGCAGTTTTTACAGTAAAATAAGACGAATAGATTACAAATGAGTGAAAGGGGAAGGGTGAGCTGAGAGCTGAGAGCTGAGAGCTTCGCTTGTCCTCTTAGGCAATCCCAAGGACCTTCTCGATGAGAGGAAGCACAGAGGAGAACACATTTACATAAGAATAGACAAATCACAAAGCACTCAATAATAACAATAGTAACTAAAATATTAGTTTGACTCGGAGTTGACATGGGAAACGATTGGGTAATGTAATTATTATTGAATGATACTTGAAAGAATCGAATGGAAAGAGTTGAATAAAGAATTTAATAAAGAATTTAATAAAGAAAAGAACTTAATAAAGAACTTAGTAAAGAATTTAATAAAGAATTTAATAAAGAATTTAATAAAGAGTTTAACAAGGAGTTTAATAAAGAATTTCATAAAGAATTTAATAAAGAAAAGAATTTAACAAAGAACTTAACAATTGTAAGAATATAAATCAAAAACTAAGCATTTATATTGTTTAAAACATCAGTACAATTGCGCTGATAAAGAACACCAAAACTACAGTCAAACTTCGATATCAACCAAACGATATCAGCCAATATTCAGCCAAACGCTTAAGGAAAAGCCTTTGATATAACAAACTTCAGCTTCAGCAAACTATTGGGTTGATGCATAATTATCCGGACTTCTTTTTGCGTGCTTGTATCTTTTTTGTTTTGAAAGCTTTTTGTCTATTTCTTTTTTTTAAATATTCGTTATTCTTTAGTGAACAAAATGCGTGTCGACAATCATATCCATCTTCGCCATATCATGCTCTACCACTTCGAAAAGGGATGGTCTGCCGCAGAGTCGTTTCGCGATCTCAAAGAACTGGAGAAGCCCCAACGGACTACCACGTCAATCGATCGCTCAAAAATTGGCAAACAAATAAGATCTACAACGATTTGGATGACTTGATAGACGATGTTAAAGCGTGGATTGCCTCCAAAGATCGTTTATTCTTCGCTCGTGGAATCGATCGTCTTCCAAGCAAATGGCAATCAGTTATTGATGTAGGCGGTGAATATGCTCCAGAATAATCAATTAAACATATTTTTCTAACTATTTATGTTATTTTTTGTTAAATAAAATCATTTATAAAAGAAGTCCGGATAATTATGCATCAACCCAATATATAGCTTCAGTGATAGAGAAATTGTAAAGACAAAATCTAGAAAGATAAAGATAAAGATAAAGATAAAGATAAAGATAAAGATAAAGATAAAGGTAAAGATAAAGGTAAAGATAAAGATAAAGATAAAGGTAAAGATAAAGATAAAGGTAAAGGTAAAGATAAAGATAAAGATAAAGATAAAGATATAGATATAGATAAAGATAAAGATAAAGATAAAGATATAGATAAAGATAAAGATATAGATATAGATAAAGATATAGATAAAGATAAAGATAAAGATTAAATGATAGAGATCTAAATCCGCTTACGATAGATGGAGGATTTTTTAGAGAACAAAAGAAAAGCTTCCAGGTTATTTGCAATGGAAAGGATTTGACTCGTTCCGCTCGAATCGATCACAGTAAAACGATCAATTTTGAGGCGACAAGGAAAATGTTGGGGAATTGTGTCATTTATCTTTACAGTACGAAGACTCAGCAAGTGGATATGTTGCTCTTTTTCGTCAGTGACAAGTGCACGGTGGGATTTGTTTGATTTGTTTTATTCAAACCTGTTTTATCCAATTTTATCGAATTTTATCCAACTCAAAGCATATCTAGTGTTGCGTTTAACGCTTTTCTTTGGCAACAACACGCAACACTGTTGCGTTTAATGCTTTTCTTTGACTTTTTTTGGCTTTTTTGGCTTTTTTTGCTTTCTAAGACAATTCAAAGCTGAAAAATAAGAATTAATCATAAAATCTGTCAATTTTATATAGAATAGAAGAACTGTAAGAATGTTTAATGCCTTTAAAAACCATAAACAAGCAGTACAACGCTGAAAAACAATTCAATTCAAGTTTAGGGTTTTTTAAAAAATCGTCTTATCGTCTCTTTCTTCATTACTTTTCTAGTTACTAGTTAATTGAGATAAGTAGAAGATGTTAATTACTAGAAGTTCATTACTAGAAGTTAATGACTAGAAGTCAATTACTAGAAGTTAATTACTACCGTAAATACTGTAATAGTACCCCCACCCTCATAATGACGGTGCGGAGTGTTGCGTAGCTCTAGCTTTGAACGAGTTTTTCTCGACACTGGTTTATGCTACAATGCTCGCTTAGGTATCAAAAAATAGCTGAAATTCAGGGCTATTTTTTGATACCTAAGCGCGCATTGTAGCGTAAATCAGTGTCGAGAAAGACTCGCTCAAAGCTAGACTACCCAACACTTCGCACCGTCATTATGAGGGTGGGGTACTGTTACAGGTTTTTCTCGACATTGCTTTATGCTACAATGCTCGCTTAGGTATCAAAAAATAGCCCTGAATTTCAGCTATTTTTTGATACCTAAGCGAGCATTGTAGCATAAACCAGTGTCGAGAAAAACTCGTTCAAAGCTAGACTACGCAACACTCCGCACCGTCATTATGGGGCGGGGGTACTATTACAGTATTTACGGTATGTTAATTACTACAAGTTCATTACAATAAGTTCATTACTATAAGTTCATTATATAAGTTGATTACTAGAAGTTAATTACTATAAGTTCATTACTACTTTTTGAGCTTCTTTATTGCACATATAAATTGAGCTGAGATTACGATATCTTTAGTTATTAATTGAGGATAAATAAACTAGAATCAAAATCTAGTAATATATTTGTTTCAGGGATCAACAATTCCATCAAGAGATACTATGAAACCTGGGCAAAAAATTACGATCACGATGAATGGACAGAAAAATGGATATGTGATTATGAGAACGCTTGATGAGAAAATCGCTAAATTAATGAAAGTGAGGGGAATTTAAAAACTACTGTAAAAGTACTGTAAAACTGCTGCAGCTAGTACTACAGCTAGTACTATAGCTAGTACTATAGCTAGTACTGTAACTAGTACTGTAAAAAATTACGATCACGATGAATGGACAGAAAAATGGATATGTGATTATGAGAACGCTTGATGAGAAAATCGCTAAATTAATGAAAGTAGGGGAACTTAAAAACTACTGTAAAAGTACTGTAGCTAGTACTGTAGCTAGTACTGTAGCTAGTGCTGTAGCTAGTACCGTAGCTAGTATCGTAGCTAGTTCTGTAGCTAGTACTGTAGCTAGTACTGTAGCTAGTACTGTAGCTAGTACTGTAGCTAGTTCTGTAGCTAGTACTATAGCTAGAACGGTAGCTAGTACCGTAGCTAGTTCTGTAGCTAGTACAGTAGCCAGTACTGTAGTTAGTACTATAACTAGTACTATAGCTAGTACTACAGCTAGTTCTGTAGCTAGTGCTGAAGTTAGTACCGTCGCTAGTACTGTAGCTAGTACCGTAGCTAGCTCTGTAGCTAGTACCGTAGCCAGTACTGTAGCTAGTACTGTAGCTAGTTCTGTAGCTAGTACTATAGCTAGTTCTATAGCTAGTTCTGTAGCCAGTACTCTAGCTAGTACCGTAGCTAGTTCTGTAGCTAGTTCTGTAGCTAGTTCTGTAGCTAGTTCTGTAGCTAGTTCTGTAGCTAGTACTATAACTAGCATTGTAAGCACAGATTTCATAGGGTACTATTAGAGTACTCGAATTTAAGGCATAAGTGAAGCTGAAGCACTTTCAAGTACTATTTTGAATAATGTAGCTAAAGAAAAGGTCTATTAGAGTAATGTAGATCTTTGAGAAAGGTCTATAATGCTGCAAAACTGCTTGCTAGACAATTTCTCTTTTTAGGAAGATCAACCCGGTTTGCCGAAACTCTGGGAAGGCCTCTTCTTTGCTCGAAATTTCCAAAAAGAAGAACAAATTCGAATGTTCAATTTAGTGACCTTAAAAAGCATCAAGAATATTATCAGTAAGTGGATTAAAGTTTTTTGTTTTTGAAATGTTTTATAGCAAAAAATTGTGCCATCGCTGGTTCTCTCTTTAATCATAAAATCTTGGGAGGAACTTGCCCCGAAGGAAAAGCCTCAACATCAGCTGTTTCTGATTTATGTATGCGACAAATCACAACGAATTGTCAGCCTGGCATCACTCCAACTCAAGGTTTACATCAATATTAAATCTTGAAGAGTAAAAGGGTCAAAAAAAAAGCTAGAAATTAACCCCACTCCGATAATGACGATGCGGAGTCTTGCGTAGTCTAGCTTTGAACGAGTTTTTCTCGACACTGGTTTATGCTACAATGCTCGTTTAGGTATCAAAAAATAGCTGAAATTCAGGGCTATTTTTTGATACCTAAGCGCGCATTGTAGCGTAAATCAGTGTCGAGAAAGACTCGCTCAAAGCTAGACTACCCAACACTTCGCACCGTCATTATGAGGGTGGGGGTACTGTTACAGGTTTTTCTCGACATTGGTTTATGCTACAATGCTCGTCTAGGTATCCAAAAATAGCTGAGATTCAGGGCTATTTTTTGATACCTATTGTAGCATTGTAGAAACAACCAGTGTCGAGAAAGACTCGTTCAAAGCTAGACTACCCAACACTCCGCACCCGGATTATGGGGGTGGGGTACTTTTTCTCGACACTGGTTTATGCTACACTGCTCGTTTAGGCATCAAAAAATAGCCCTGAATCTCAGCTATTTTTTGATACCTAAGCGAGCAGGAATTAGCAACAAATTAGCTACATCTTAGCTACAAACTAAATCAATTACCTCCAAATTTCAGAAGCGGTTTGTGATCGAATGGGCTCGTCAGCCAGTTGCAGGTATAAAGAAATAGAAGCTGAAGACTCGGAAAGATTCCAACCGGATCTTTCGGAGCAATTCTTTTCATCAACTCGTCCATTTGGTGACGGTTTTACTGGAATGAATGGAATGAATGGAATGCCTGGAATGCCTGGAATGTCCAGCGATTTTGGCGGATTCGCTGGCCCACCCGGCCCATTTCCATCTCAAGATTTGTTAGTTTTTATGCTATTTTTATCTTTCAGCTCTGGAAAACTGCAAAAATTACGGGCTAAACTACCAGATAATGTGCGCAGGTTGGTTTAGGCATGAGCATTGCATTGAATGTTGTTAAAACAATTGCATTGCATGTTAAAACAGCTTTAAAAACTTGTCAAGTAAACTTTTCATCGCTCTATGATTGTTATAAGTACTCTAAAGTACTCTAAAGTACTCTAAAGTACTCTAAAGTACTCTAAAGTACTCTAAAGACTTGAGATAGCTATTGGGTTGGTGAGTCGAAAACTGCGGGACTTTGAAATAAAATTTATTCAACCATAAATTCATTCCAAATAATTTCCATTTTTATTGACGACTTCTGCTCTTTTTTTAATCAGCTTAGCTCATTAATAATGATCCGGAATAAATAATAATCAAAAGGGACGAGGTCTAGACTGTATCAAGAATGCGCCAAAAGTTCCCAAAAAAGGCTATTTATTTTAGAGTGAGTCAATTTTGCAACATGAGGGCGTTGTCGTGGATGAGAACGATCTTTGACTTGAAGGGCCTATTCCTCTTCAGGGATTCATTCACCTTTCCCAATTGCCCACTGTATTTGATTGCGTTAACGGTCGTCTTGCTATCCAGCAACTCCCAGTACATCACTCCCTTCATATCCCAGAAAACGCAAAGCATAAACTTCTTCTGGTGCAAATCGAGCTTAGGATCACTTTCGGGTTTCTCGCCTGGCTCCACCCATTGCCACTTCCTCCAAAAGTTCACAGATAAAACCCATTTCTCATCTCCTTTCACAATTCGAGAAAGAAAAGATTTCCTTTTGTATTGTGAGTGATGGACGGCACTGATGGAGGCGCGCTGCCACTTCTGGGGATTATTGAGGTCATGGGGCACTCATGGGTAAACTTGGGGCATCCAAGCCCCAAGTTTCGATTTAAATCCTAGGGTATGAAGGTGCCTTAGCACTGTAGCATGATCAACCCCTAACTCTTCTCCTAATTCACGCGATGGTACCCGATGGTCGTTGGTAATGAGTTCGAGTAATTTGGAATGATCCAGTTGGGGTGCCGCTGCACGGCCCTCTGCATCTTTCAAAGATTTGTCCCCAGAACGAAACTTGGCAAACCATACTTGACACGTTCTTTCGGAAGGTGAGTCCTCCCAATATATCTTTTTAATATTAGCAGCTGCCACGTCTGCACTGTGCTCTTGTAGGAACTCATGAAGAATATTAGCAGCTGCCAAGGCTGCACTGTGCTCTTGTAGGAACTCATGAAGCATGACATGACGAATATTTCCCGGTGGCAGATTGTCGAGTGCAATAGAAGAAGTGAAGAAAAATACCAAAAAAAATACAAAGCTAGATGCGTAATTTTTTTCGCAATAATTTGAGGAAATGTTGAAGTAAAAAAACCCTCCTTTCAGCTGGTTCTATGGTGTTGTTTTCTTTATTTGCGAGTCCCGCGAAATAGCCCGCAGTTTTCAATTCACCAATTCCATAATATCTTTTGAAAAGATTGAATTGAAATTAAAAATTGAATCAAAATCCTTTACAGTTTTGTAAAATTTTCATTAAATTTGATTAAATTTGATTAAATTTGATTAAATTGGATTAAATTTAATTAAATTTGATTAAATTGGATTCAATTTGATTCCATTTGATTCCATTTGATTCCATTTGATTCAATTTGATTCCATTTGATTCAATTTCATTCAATTTGATTCAATTTGATTCCATTTGATTCAATTTGATTCCATTTGATTCAATTTGATTCAATTTGATTCCATTTGATTCAATTTGATTCAATTTGATTCAATTTGATTAAATTTGATTCCATTTGATTCAATTGGATTCAATTTGATTAAATTTGATTAAATTTGATTAAATTTCATTCAATTTCATTCAATTTGATTCAATTTGATTCAATTTGATTCAATTTCATTCAATTTGATTCCATTTGATTCAATTTCATTCAATTTGATTCCATTTGATTCAATTTGATTCCATTTGATTAAATTTGATTCCATTTGATTCAATTTCATTCAATTTGATTCCATTTGATTCAATTGGATTCAATTTGATTAAATTTGATTAAATTTGATTAAATTTCATTCAATTTCATTCAATTTGATTCAATTTGATTAAATTGGATTAAATTGGATTCAATTTCATTCAATTTCATTCAATTTCATTCAATTTGATTCCATTTGATTCAATTTGATTCAATTTGATTCAATTTGATTCAATTTGATTCAATTTGATTCCATTTGATTAAATTTGATTCCATTTGATTCAATTTGATTCAATTTGATTAAATTTGATTCAATTTGATTCAATTTGATTCAATTTGATTCCATTTGATTCAATTTGATTAAATTGGATTAAATTTGATTAAATTTGATTAAATTTGATTAAATTTGATTAAATTTGATTCAATTTCATTAAATTTCATTAAAATTCATTCAATTTCATTCAATTTCATTCAATTTCATTAATTTTCATCAATTTTCATTAATTTCATTATTAAAATGACTCTTTTAACAAAAATTTTGGGAAAAACAAAGCACGAAAAGAATTTTCAAAAACTTTTTGCATGTTTTCGTGTGCCATTTGCTTGAGTCATTGCGTCAAATGAGCAAATGCATTCTAGCAGCTCGTTCATGCGTTCATTTGGTCCATTCTAGCAGTTCGTTCATGCGTTCATTTGGTCGACCGACGACTTTTATGGACGATTTCGAGTTAGAGCCACCGATTCTCCCGTCAGATGAGATGACTTTCACACGCTCGTATTTCCCTCATGTTTGGATCTTTGATGACTATTCGTTGGGGTGAGTGAAAGAGTTGAACAACGAACAAAATGAGTTATTAAGACCCCAATTGATAGATTGATAGATTGATTTTCAATTAATAGACTTAATAAATGCCTTCAATCGATTCTCCGACCTCGAAAACCCTAGGAAACATTTTGAGTTGAGTTAAGGAGTTGTACTCGAACAAAATGAGCTATTAAAGCCCAGATTTCAATTGATAGACTTAATAAATCTCTCCAATCGATTCTCCGGCCTCGAAAACCCTAGGAGAGAAATTTCGAGTTAAATAACTTCTTTTCACTTTGCAGATCACATTTTAAAGTACTTTATTAAATAGTTTTTAGTCCATTTGGCACTTCAGCGATTCAAGAAGAAGCTCCACATTCGGTTGGTCGTTGGGTGATTCAAAGTGATTATTGGGCGCCGAATGAGTTCTCATTTTGTTCAGCGATTCCAAAATATGTCACTTCAACAAAATCTTTCTTTATGGAGGTGAGTTTATTCAAAAAAAGCTCAAAAATTGAGGCTTAGGCTCCAAAATTGAGGCTTATGCCCAAAAATTGAGGCTTAAGCCCAAAAATTGAGGCTTAGGCCCAAAAATTGAGGCTTAAGCCCAAAAATTGAGGCTTAGGCCCAAGAATTGAGGCTTAGGCCCAAAAATTGAGGCTCAGGCTCAGGCTTAGGCTTAGGCTTAGGCTTAGCTGGCTTAGGCTTAGGCTTAGGCTTAGCTGGCTTAGGCTTAGCTGGCTTAGGCTTAGGCTTAGGCTTAGGCTTAGGCTTAGATCATGAAGCTGAGCTCATCAAAGTGGGCCTACAAAACTCAAAATTGAGGCCTACAAAACTCCTGAAACTCTAGATTGACATGCCGAAAAATGTTTACGTAAATGAATCGGTTACAGTCAAGATCTCAGTGACAGCAAATGATTTAGAAGAAGAGAAACAGGTATGCCTTTCTCAATTTGCATAAAAACAGTAATGATTCTTTAGCCAATAATCCTCTTTAGCCAATCATTTAGCCAATCCTCTTTAGCCAATCCTCTTTAGCTTTCAATTTGTTACGGTAATCTGCCGAGACAATTGTGCGCGGATATGGGCCCGGCTGGAACCCATGGACTACCCGCTTACTCAAGAATTGTTCTTTCCAAAATCCATCCAATAACAACAAAGACTTTCAAGTAAGAAAAAAAGATCAGCTAAAATACACTGCTCATAATGATAGCCGCAGTACCAAATTCAGAGATGCGGCTATCATTATATAGATATTTATATGTAGATATTGAGATATTTAGATTTTTAGATATTTATAGATCATTGGAGATATTGAGATTACTTTCAGCATGAGATTTTTCAAAACCGGAGAAGTGAAGATTGTGTTCATGCTGAGGACTGAGGTTTATGTGCCTGGGGAAGAGAATCGATGCGCAAATGGGGAAGTGTTGGATTCGATTGAGCAACCGATTATGATAGCGGTGAGAAAATTTGTATTCTGTCTACTTGTCTACTTGTCTAAGCTAAACTCACTTTTGAAAATGGATTGTAAAGCCTTTGACCTTCAAAGCCTTGAACCAAAACCTTTGACCTTCAAAGCCTTGAACCAAAGCCTTTGACCTTCAAAGCCTTGAACCAAAGCCTTGAATCTTCGAAGCCTTGAACCAAAGCCTTGAATCTTCAAAGCCTTGAACCAAAGCCTTGAACCAAAGCCTTGAACCAAAGCCTTGAACCTTCAAAGCCTTGAACCTTCAAAGCCTTGAACCTTCAAAGCCTTGAACCAAAGCCTTGAACCTTCGAAGCCTTGAACCAAAGCCTTGAACCAAAGCCTTGAACCAAAGCCTTGAACCTTCAAAGCCTTGAACCAAAGCCTTGAACCTTTGAAGCCTTGAACCAAAGCCTTGAATCTTCAAAGCCTTTGACCGCCAGTTTAAAAGTTACTAAAATCTAGTTTTTGTATGTAATTTGTTTAAAAGCCTAGTAGTTTTTAAACAAAAATAAAAACCTAATAGTTTAGTTTTTAAACAAAAATCAATTAGTACAATTTGTTACTAATTACAGAAAAGAGCCGAAACAGAAGAGCACTATCGACGATTGATTTTATCAATCGAGAAACCAGTGAGCAAATCGTTAAATGATGCGATTGAAGAGGTCGATAGGGCGGATGTTATACGGCCAAATATCTTAGGTAAGTGCAAAAATCGTGAATCAAAACCTTCTCTATAAGCTGTATTTACTAGGGAACTTACTAGGGATTTTGCAAGCACAAATCGCGAACCAAAACTATAATAGGTTAATGCAAAAGAAATTTTCGTTCAGTTTAAAATGTTCTGTTTTGTTTTTACGCAAGTCGGACACGGGCGACATGACCGGGTTTTTAGTTTTTGCCTAAACAATCTAGATCTCTGTAAGAACAGAATTGACTACCTAGAACACCGAGCTCTAGAACAGTTCTAAGGACTGCCGTAGCTCACCAAACAATTGGTGGTGCTGGAGCAGTGCCGGAATCACCCGTTCTTGCCATCCATGCATATCTATGATATCAGATATCTATGATGTCAGATATCTATGATATCAAATCTCTATGATATCACATGACCGTTCCCTAGCTACCGTTAGAATTCAAAATAAGCTGGATAATTGTAGGCCTGATCTTTCAGATGTTTACGAGTATCGAGCTCCTCACGAGGACGCACTGATCTCCGAAATTCACACCAACATCGCTGACACTGATTCCGTTTACAGTATCACGGCCGAAATCTCGAGTAGGATAGCTTGGAAAATGTTTATATTTAGATTTTAGAGTTTTTACCGTCCATTTACATTCCATTACGTATTTCAAATGAGTTGCGAGAGTCGGAAGCGTCAAGAAAAAAACGAGGTACTATAATTGAACTAAGTTGGGCGCTCTTGATCCAGCTTCGAACGTCGGTGCAAAGTTCTAAAAGACACTAAGAACTACGATAACCCAGTAGCCGGTTTTCATTGGAATCAGTCTAATTTTGATCTTATTTATTAAAGAATGATAAAGCTCAGTGAATGAGCTAATCAAATGGAAACTAGAGGCTAGATTATTCTTTAAATGGAAACTAGCAGCTAGAAAGAGATTGAGATGACTCTTTAAAAGAGATTGAGATGATAAGAAGCGATGATTATATAGATTTTTAGGAATTGTTGGTTATGGAAACACTTTCCTCTCCGATGTCATCAAAAAGCTCTCTGTTGAATTGTACAAATTCAAATTAGAGCGAACGGTGTTGAGAAGAAATGATGCAACGACGGAGTTCTTGGAGAACAATATTGGAGCTTGTGATTCAGTTGAACACTTCAGTTAAGCGCTAAATTTTAGTGGTGGCTGACATGTTGCGATTCTCGGATTGCTCGACGAACTCTTCTTGTGGTTATTATGAGTACGGACGACCGATCAATCAAAATCAACGATCGCCAGTGTGAGCAAAAGTGTGAAACGATGTGAAAACTGAATCTGACAAGGGAAAGACACTTTTGATCTGGCCTTTCGGCTCTTATAGAGTCTTATAGAGTCAATCCATCTTATAGAGTCAACAATATTTTCGTCTTTAAGCCTCAAATCCGTTTTTAGTTTTTTCTGCAAGCTTTCAGCATTGAATAATAGAGTTAAATGCACCTGTAGCTTTCCTGCACTTGTAGAAATGCACTTGTAGCTTTCCTGCACTTGTAGAAATGCACTTGTAGCTTTCCTGCGCCTGCACCTGTAGAAATGTGACAACAAATCTTAAACTCTTAAACTTTACTTATCTACTCACTCTGATACTTCTAGCTTTGTCAATTATTTATTGAAGTTATAGAAAGGTGTAGAAACTAGAGCCAATGAGAAACAGACTTTCAAAACAGCTAAAAAAACTTTGTAGGACTCGAACTTTAGTGGAGAAAGACATGACAAGATCGGTAGTCTAGTAGACTATCCACTAGACCACCGGGACTCTCGTCAAGCTATTCGGCAAGCGTGTGGCGGCTTCTTAACTAGAGAAACAAGCAAAGGAAACAAATAATGAAGACAAAAAAAACTTTGACGAGAGTAGGACTCGAACTTGAGAGCAAAAAGACGTGACAAGATCGGTAGCCAAGACCACTATCCAGTTTGAGCTCCCCATGACCGACTGTATAGGATGGATTTGGTCTGGAGTCAAGAGCCAGCTTGTTTCAGTGCCTTTCCCTTGTCAGAGCCAGGCCAGGCCCGGTCAAACCAGATGGGCTAGGCTATGGAGGGCTAGGCTAAGCCTAAAGCCAAGCCAGACAAAGCCAAAGTCAAGACTTGGCTCTAGTCTTGCTTGCTTTGGCCAGGCCCGGAAAAATCGAAAGAACAAAATCCAAGAAATAATACCGGTTCCAATCAAAACCAGCTCCAGTTTAGCTTAGTTTTTCTAGAGCTTTTGAACTTCTTGTGGGCTTTATTAGAGAAGTATTGAGCCAATTTATAATGAAAACTTTGACAAAAGAATCTGCTGTCACTTTTAGTCTAACCGCAATGTCAACCTCGCTTCTTTGTGAAGCGATCGCTGACGAGAAACTCGTTTGCGGGAGTATTCGATGGTTGCAAGAAGTGATGGTTCAAGATTTCCACGAAAACGAGAGCAACTCATTCACAAATTTCAACGGATTAGCTGACATTGTGAGTTTCTTAAAGAAGTTTTGATCTCATTTGCAAAAGCTGAGGTTTACTGAGGTTTTGCTGAAGTTTGCAAAGCATTAAACTCTTCAGGATTCCTCTGATCGTGCCTGGTTTTTGCGGGGAATGTTGTTACAAATCTCACAGGATTGTGCTGCATACACTTGTGTGGTTTGTCTTTCTTGTTGCCTTGTAATTTCTTGTTGTCTTGTGATTTCTGTAATTTCTGTAATTTCACATTTTTGCTTAAGAAAAACGACGAAGCTTGGAGCCGACTTTACGAGTATTTCTACGACTTTGAGGAGAACGATTTGACTGATTTGAGAGCCGTTGCAGCGCTGGCTTATATGGCGACAAATGCGACGAATCACGTGCTAAGGCAGAAATTGAATGCATCGATTAAAGGTGATCAAAAAATTGCTTTCAAAGATAAGCAATTGTTTAGAAAACGTTTTCCCCTATTGGGAAGCCGGGCGCAGATCGCGTAACGTGCTCGATCGGCTGCAGAACGGGCAACAGAATTTCTTCAACTTGAAAGGGATCAAGGTAGGTTCCAAAGTACGGTAGGTAGGCCCAGGCTACAGTAGGTAGGCCCAGGGTACGGTAGGTAGACCCAGGCTACAGTAGGTAGGCCCAGGGTACGGTAGGTAGGTTCCAAAGTACGGTAGGTAGGCGCAGGCTACGGTAGGTAGGTTCCAAAGTACGGTAGGTAGGCCCGGGCTACAGTAGGTAGGCCCAGGGTACGGTAGGTAGACCCAGGCTACAGTAGGTAGGCCCAGGCTACAGTAGGTAGGCCCAGGGTACGGTAGGTAGACCCAGGCTACAGTAGGTAGGCCCAGGCTACGGTAGGTAGGTTCCAAAGTACGGTAGGTAGGCCCAGGCTACAGTAGATAGGCCCAGGGTACGGTAGGTCCCGGGGTACAGTCGATTCCGGGTTACGGTAGTTTATTAGGCTTTCAGGGTACGGCGACTTAGGGTAGCTCAGGGATACAGTAGCAGGCTTTCAAAAGCTGCAGTCCTTGAACATGTTCAGAGTGGTGACGTGCTGGTGAACGCATTGGGAGTGCTTGCGTTTGTCGGTCGAAGTGTCGATGTGCCAAAGTTGATGGATTTCGACTCACTCGCCGATTGGATTTACGAGCAAAAGAAAGAGGATGGGACTTATGAAAATGCTTTGGTGAGGTTTGGAAAGCTTTCTAAAACTTGTGAGGGACCAATCTACTATATAAAAGAGGTGTCTGTCTGTCTGTCTGTCCGTCTGTCTGTATGTCTGTCTGTCTGTCTGTCCGTCTGTCTGTCTGTCCGTCTGTCTGTCTGTCTGTCCGTCTGTCTGTCTGTCTGTCTGTCCGTCTGTCTGTCTGTATGTCTGTCTGTCCGTCTGTCTGTCTGTCCATCCGTCAGCCTGTCTGTCCGTCTGTCTGCCCGTCTGTTTGTCCATCTGTTTGTCCGCCTGTCTGTCTGTCCGTCTGTCTATCCGTTTGTCTGTCCGTATGTTTGTCCGTCTGTTTGTCCATCTGTCTGTACGCGCGAGTTCTCAACTCTCCGTGGTCCAATTTACATGATTTTTAGTTTGTTAGGCTTAGAATTCTATGTACTTGTGCATCTCATATTTCGTTTTTTAAAAGTTAAAAGTCACGACACAGCTGGGAGTCGAACCCAGATCGTATAGGCCGTATACAAGCGTGCTCTCAACTGCGCCAAGCATGCGTCGCCTGAAATATCGAGAAAAACCCGCTGTTAGACGGGTTTTTCGACTGGTTCCTTATAAAGTTGCTCTCTAATTCTTGGACTTTCAACAATTTCCCTTTTAGGACACTTATTTCGCAGCTCGTGCCCTTTACGAGTACCGTAGTCGGAAAGTCGACATCGGGCCGCCGAATGAGAATCTCATTGTTGAGATCTCGGCTCCGCATTTTGCCAAGAAAATTGTTAATGTTACTGATACGTCAATGCTGATTTATGTAAGTTAACATTTTCTAACGATAAAAATAACTAAAGTTTAGCTGCCGACAAACGTTCGAAATATCACAATCAAAACAAAAGGCTTTGGTAAAGTAAAGGCCGGGATTCGTGTATTAGCTGCAAGGGTGAGTGAAAGTTCAATTTAAGAAGTTAATTAGTCAATTTAAGAAGTTAATTAGTCAATTTAAGAAGTTAATTTGTCAATTTAAGAAGTTCATTTCGTCTATCAAATCTTTATCAAGTCTAAAAATCATTGGATTTCGATTTTTTTATGTTTTATAAGTTGAAAATCGAATATTTTAGCGACAACGAAATCGAAGAGAGCTTTCGGAGCCGGATCTTCCAATCAAAATGACTGTTAATCAGCAAAAAGATCAACAACGAGATATCATTATGCAGACTGTTTGTTTAACGTGAGTAATTTAACTAATTTAGTTAATCAGACAAAAAAATCGAAACCGACAATTGTAACCGACGTCTACTGGACAATTTTTTTGACTTCTTGTTCTTGTTCTTGTTTGCATTGATCGCTTCTTGCTTTCTGCACGAATTTGGCACTCGTTGACGCCAAAATGTCTTCCCGTTTTGCACGTAATTCATCCGATCGAGCCGTCACAGTGATACGAGCCTTGAGTACTTTTCGAATATCGGGGAAGCGATCCGATTATCGGGAGAGCGAAAGGAAAATCGGGGGGAGCAAGCGCTCCATATGTTGGCAGCGCTCCATATGTCCTATATTATACAAACTATCGCCATAAAATCCGCGAATTACCCGTTATTGTCGTGATTGTCCCTGGCTTCATAGATAAATAAACTTTAAAATTGTGACCAACGGCTTGCTTTGTTGCTTTGCAAGCTTTGCAAAAAGTTATCGACTCGAGTTCCTCTTGAATGCTTGGGGGGCCTTTCGCCGTCCGCAAGTGTCACATACCCAGCGAAATAGATCTTTTCCCTTTGAGCGGACTTTCATCGATTCGCCACATTTGCAAATCCACGACTGACTGACTGATGACTCCTTTGGTGACGAAATAATCGATTGCCGTCGATTCTTTGAACGCACAAATGTCGGAGGAGCGCTCCCCCTATTTTCCTTCCGCTCCCCCTATTTTCCTTTCGCTCCCCCGATATTGGAAAAGTACCGAGCCTTGGAGTGCAATCGGATCGATCCAAATGGTCCAAATCAGCTGATGGGTCGATCCAAATCGATCTATCAGCTAGCTTTGCCTAGACTGGCTTGCTAAAGCTTTGTCTAAGTCTTTTAATAAAATAAATACGGATTTGATAAAAAAATAGAGAGAAGATTACAGAGAATAGGCTAGAATTACAAAACTACAAACTACAATTTAGCAAATCACTTTCAGTTCTTTGTCTCCATTAATCGACACTTTCGAGATCGTTCACGGGCTTTTCACCGGTTTCACAACTTACTTTGACAAGGTGGAAATCGTTGGGGTAAATTTGCAAAATTAAAGCAAATAGTTTTCATAAACCAATTTCAGCAATCCGATCTCAAAATGATCAATCTGCCGATGGTTTCCTCGTATGCGATTCATATGACCGTTCAGCTGAACAAAACGAACACACAAGGATGTTATAAAGTGAGCGGAAATTGAGATAAAGGCTTTAATTAAAGGCTTTAAGTATTGGAACCGTATTAGATCAAAAGAGGAACCGTATTGGATAAAAAAAGAACCGTATTGGAACCGTATGGGAAAAACCGTATGGGAAGAACCTATGGGAAGATAAACGCCCTTTTTTAGTCCTATTCAATTATCCAATTCATCCAGATAGCGCTTTTTTAAGTTAGTAATTATTTTAGACCTTTAGTTGATGGTTTCTAGTGTAGCTTACAAGAAATTTGATATCTAGAAGGATAGCTGAATAGCTGATTAAAGATTAGATAGCTGATTAACGATTAGATAGCTGATTAACGATTAGATAGCTGATTAAAGATCAGATAGCTGATTAAAGATCAGATAGCTGCTCAAGATCAGATTCATTCATGATCTGTCTAGGTAGCCGTTTTCCCGCCAAATCATCCCCATGAGCCGACCTCTTTAGCGCCGGTGGAGATCAGTTGTCGACATCCAGTAAATGGTGAGTGAATACTTGTTTTTTGAGTTCAATTCTATTTTCGAGTTCAAATCTAAACTAGGTCATAGATAAACTAGGTCATAGATAAACTAGGTCATAGAAACATTCTAGATATCGTTGGTCAAGTGTTGATCTCACATCCAGATGCGGTGGCTCGGGGGAAAACAAAACGAAACGCCGCCGTGCACGCCGTTTTGAGGCTGAGAAAGGTCGACTGTTTGATTGAAAAAGATTCTGAATTGAGATTAAAACTAAAAGTAATGGTAATTCTCTCTAATAATAGTGTACAACCAATGGTATTCTCTCTAATAGTAGTGTAAAACCAATGGTATTCCCTCTAATAGTAGTCTAATACCCGCCGAGCCGAGTTGACAACTACTTTACGGTTTTTCTAGTGATCGAAACCTTATGTTTGTGCTATTTGTTGATGGAAAATTTGTTTGGGAAAATTTGCTTGTCGGTGCTCTTGGTTTAGCGCAATCGTCTGCAGATTGATCGTTCGAAAAGCGTCGATTACCACCTGAAAACTTTGCTCTACATACCTTGTTTTCTCTAATAATATTGCACTCCGATTTGATGACTATTTTATGGTTTCTAAGTTTTCCCAGAAGCTCAACACTCAAATCCCCAGCTAGATCTCATTGTCAGCTACATTTTCCGACTCCACATTGATAGGTTCTGGTTTTTGAGATTCCGAGTAACTTAAGCAAAGCCTAAGATTCGCTACTATTAGAGAAATAACGGTATATCAATGTTTCACTGTACATCGATCACCGTCTAAACGTTTCTCGGTTGCCCCATTGTACTGCACGTCACTTTTCGGGTTAGACAATTTGTTTTTGAATCGATACTGAAGGTTTAATACAAGCTCTAATACCTCTCTAACACTCCTAGCCAAGTTGATGACTATTTTACGGCTTCCAAAGTTTTCCCAGAAGCTCAACACTCAAATCCCCCGCTAGATCTCATCGTCAGCTACATTTTCCGACATCGATAGGTTCTGATAAGCGGTTTTCGAGGAATTTAGCCAAAGCTTAAGGTGCGCTTTTCATTCGCACCGATTCGGGACCTTCAAACTGTTTATCTCTTTTCTGGGATTCCCTGAACCATTCGATTGTTTATTATATTGTAGTCTAACGTAGTCTAGCGTCAAAAAGGCTAAAAAGCGGCTTAGTCACTTCTTCTTCCCCTTTACGGATTCGAAAAAGGAAGCACCTTGTACCAAAGGGAAAAAAGCAAGTGTGATTTTTCTCCGCGAGTTATCAGCGAGGAATTTTCGGAACCTTATGTTACCGCGGTTTGCCAGATGGCGAGCGATTGCGCAAAGAAAACCCGATCATTTCCTAGGGATTCCACTTGCTTTAGAGTCAAAAAAGTGCTTTAGTGCTTCTAGAGTCACAAAAAGATATTCATCTGTAAATTTGTACCTAGGGGATTTTCAGGGTCAGGAAATCTATTGGAGATATTTATTCTATTGAGGCTAAGAATTGGAACTGAAAAAAAGGTCTCAAAAATGCCTAGCTGAGACTGTGAGTTCTCTGTACAGATGAATGTGGTGAATTCTCTGTAGAGATAAATGTAGTGAGTTCTCCGTACAGATAAATGTAGTGAGTTCTCTGTACAGATCGATGGAGTGGGTTCTCTGTACAGATCAATGGAGTGGGTTCTCTGTACAGATCAATGTAGTGAGTTCTCTGTACAGATAAATGTAGTGGGTTCTCTGTACAGATAAATGTAGTCAGTTCTCTGTACAGATAAATGTAGTCAGTTCTCTGTACAGATAAATGTAGTCAGTTCTCTGTACAGATAAATGTAGTCAGTTCTCTGTACAGATAAATGTAGTGGGTTCTCTGTACAGATAAATGTAGTGGGTTCTCTGTACAGATCAATGGAGTGGGTTCTCTGTACAGATCAATGTAGTGAGTTCTCTGTACAGATAAATGTAGTGGGTTCTCTGTACAGATAAATGTAGTGAGTTCTCTGTACAGATAAATGTAGTCAGTTCTCTGTACAGATAAATGTAGTCAGTTCTCTGTACAGATAAATGTAGTGGGTTCTCTGTACAGATAAATGTAGTGGGTTCTCTGTACAGATAAATGTAGTGGGTTCTCTGTACAGATAAATGTAGTCAGTTCTCTGTACAGATAAATCTCTGTGCATCAAACTACGAAAACTAAGCTATTGGGTTGTCCAGTTATGAATGCGCGCTTTTACTATTTTGTAAATTTCTCAAGATATCGAACAGTTGTATTTGAGTGTTATATATCATTCGAAAGCTGAAGATCTCCTCTACATTTTGGAATAAAAAAGCTTTTGAATTCATTCAACTTTTTGGGAATTCGACTGCACAAAGGGAGAAGACATTTTCGAAAAAACCCATTCCAGCTTAGCTATTCCTCAAGTTTTATGGTGTAAAATAGCCGCCCAGAAAAGAAAAGAAAAGAAAAGATGCTCTGAAATTGTTATATTTAAAAAAAACTTGTATTGATATATCTATTGGCCAAACATCAGACGGTTGACTCAATTTGAGCGGAGCCAAAACTCGATCCAAAGGCACCCTTCCATTTTTTGGTCACCTCTTCTTCTGTGCAGTCAATTTGCCCAAAAGCTCGACAAATTCAAAAGCTTTTTATATCAAAATGTAGAGGAGATCTTCAGCTTTCGAATAATACTCATATATATCTTTTTCTTGATTTCGGTATCTTGAGAAATTTACAGAATAGTAAAAAGCTGGACTAGATTCATAATTGGACAACCCAATAGTAAACCTTGTGATTCTGACAATATTCAAGTGTTAAAAGTCGAGAGTCAAAAGCTAAATGTGAAATGCTAAACGTTAAATGTGAAATGCTAAACGTTAAATGCTAAATGTTAAAGTCAAAAGTCAAATCTACACAACCAATCTTTCAGCATTCATCCAAACGGCGAGCTCGTGCCGCAATCGATGAAACGATCGAGTCTGTGTGTTTCAAGTTTGAAAAACTTTGATAATTTTCAATATTTCCTTTCAGTGGTGGTCAGTGTACTTGCGGTGAAAGTACTTGTGCGGTTCGGTGCAATTCCTGTCAACGATCCACCCCGCAAAGCGTTCGGAAAGAGATCTGTCGAGATGGGGCTTTTGGTGAGTTTTGAGATGTGCTCAAACTTGTAAAGTACTGCTTGTACTGCTTGTACTGCTTGTAAAGTACTGTTCGGTTCAAAAATTGATCTAGACTTTCTAGATTTCTAGATTTCTAGATTTAAATAATTGATCGCTTTTTGAAGACTTCAACTTACCAAGGTGGCTATAGTTTACCTATAACTCTATAGTTTACCTATAACTTTATAGTTTACCTATAACTCTATAGTTTACCTATAACTTTATAGTTTACCCCACTTACAGAAGTGCTTGTCTAGTTTTGGACTTGTTTCAAACAGATTTCTAGGCAGCCAAATTTCGGTCAAAAGCTCAGGACTTGATTTTGTTGAGAAATAAGGTAAAGATCTAGCTTCTAGCTTTACCTAGACTGGCTTGGTAAAACTAGAAGACTGGTTTAGTAAAGCTAGAAGACTGGCTTGGTAAAGCTAGAAGACTGGCTTGGTAAAGCCAGCCAGCTGTCTAAACTAAACAAATCTAAACAAGAACTGAAATAAAGTGCGCTAGATTAATGCACATGAGATCACATAACACGAAAAGGGCCGATAAAAAGCATATAATGGATGCAATAACGTAGCACGGACAACGTCAAGAATCCACTAGAGCTTCAAGATCAAGATCACGATCATCTATAGATAATTTAAAGGTTTCGAGACTATTGGACTCCCTGAAAAAGATTTGAAACATGAAACGGGTTAGCTTGTTACATAGAACACATAAACAAACACAATTATAGTATTTTTCTCTTAAGAAATAGTGTGAAATAGGAAACGGGTTATGTACGGTATTCTCTCTAATAGTACAATAATATGTACGGTAATAATATGTACGGTATTCTCTCTAATAGTACAATAATATGTACGGTAATAATATGTACGGTATTCTCTCTAGTAGTACCTTGCTTTGCCTTGATTTCGCTTTGCCTAAATTCCCTAAAATCTCGAGAAGCGCTTATCAGAACCTATCGATGTCGAAAAATGTAGCTGAGGATGAGATCTAGTGGGGGATTAGAGTGTTGAGCTTCTGGGAAAACTTAGAACCCGTAAAATAGTGTTCAACTCGACTCGGCAGGTATTAGACTACGATTAGAGAGAATACGGTACTAAAATGTCCGGTAATTGGCTTTAAGAAATCGGACTCTGACGGAATCAAGAAAATAATCTTTAGGTAGCTTTTTCTAATAGTAGCGCACCTTAAGCTTTGCCTAAATTTCTCGAAATCTCAAAAACCGCTTATCAGAACCTATCGATGTCGAAAAATGTAGCTGAGGATGAGATCTAGTGGGGGATTAGAGTGTTGAGCTTCTGGGAAAACTTAGAAACCATAAAACAGGCATCAACTCGGCTCGGCGGGTATTAAACTACTATTAGAGAGAATACGGCAAATCAATTTCTGATATTAGCACGTCATAAGCTCATTGTACACAAGAAAAAGCTGTGTTTAAAGTATTTGAGAATAAAGTTTTCCATAAAGCTTATAATTTCCATAACAAATTTTCCATAAACAAATAGCACAAATATAACGTTTCGATCACTAGAAAAACTAGCAAAATATAGTTATTAAAAGAATTGAATATGGTTGGCATTTGAAATTGGCATTTGGGAAAAAGTACAAATTGTCAATTTCCAATTTCTCTCACTTTTCTCAGCCACTTCACTGTTTTCATGGTGTTTTTGGAGATAAAATAGAGAAGAATGAAAGAAAAGAGTACAATTATTCGATTTACATTGAAAGAATTAAGACCAAGGGGTATAAGGATTTCAATAACATCAACTTTTTTCAGGTATCTTCGGTAAACTCATCGAAAAGCGTGAATCCACTATTTCTGTCGGTTCTTCAACTGCCATTTACAATATCTATAAGATGCATGTTTTGCAAACGTTGATGAGAGATGAGATAATCGAAATGAGAAGTGAGATTTTGAGGGGATAATGGAAATTCGGAAGTTTTAGATAATCAAATCGAGATCTGGTTGAGGAAATGCAATCAACGATGCAATAAAGATATTTCGATAAACAAAGAAGAATCGTATTTTGTGATCGGTGACAGAAATGATTTAATTGTGGATACGGATGCTAGGTGAGATGAGAAATACGTAGATTGCGAACGTCAAATCGAAGAAGGGGCGGAATTAACATGGCTGCTGTCTCTGTCATTGGCAATCTAACTTTGAGCTCAAATATCTCGGTGTTGCTATCTCCAATTTCAATATTCTTGGTATCATTGGATTCGCCAAGTCTTTCTCTATCGATTGGTATAAAAACTATCCAAATTGGATCATCAAACACCAAGAAATCTGAGCCTAAAGGGGCGGGGTGCCTTTCTTGGTCCATTTGCCATTGGCAATCCAACTTTGAGTTCAAATATCTCGGTGTTGGAATCTCCAATTTCAATGTTCTTGGTATCATTGGATTCGCCAAGTCTTTCTCTATCGATTGGTATAAAAACTATTCAAATTGGATCATCGAACACCGAGATATTTGAGCTTAAAGTTAGATTGCCAATGGCAAAGGGGCGGGGCGCGTATAAAAGACTGAGCAGCAAATTTGAGTTCAATTGAACAGCCTAAAGCCCAGAAATTCGGGCTCAAAGGTGGATTGCTAATGGCAAAGGGGTCTTTCTCTGTCGATTGCTAATGGACGAACCTTTTATACGCGCCGCGCCCCTTTGCCATTGGCAATCCAACTTTAAGCTCAAATATCTCGGTGTTCGATGATCCAATTTGAATAGTTTTTATACCAATCGATAGAGAAAGACTTGGCGAATCTAATGATACCAAGAACATTGAAATTGGAGATTCCAACACCGAGATATTTGAACTCAAAGTTGGATTGCCAATGGCAAATGGACCAAGAAAGGCACCCCGCCCCTTTAAGCTCAGATTTCTTGGTGTTGGATGATCCAATTTGGATAGTTTTTATACCAATCGATAGAGAAAGACTTGGCGAATCCAATGATACCAAGAATATTGAAATTGGAGATAGCAACACCGAGATATTTGAGCTCAAAGTTAGATTGCCAATGACAAAAGGAGCGGAGCTTATGGGCTTATATACGATGCGATTTATGAATATGAAAATCTTTTTAAATATCAGAATACTAGCCATTCTCTTTGATTTCCAATTCCAGAACAAACTACGTGCTCCGATTGACGGATCGTTTCGAAAAATCGGTTTCCGAGTGTGGTCTCTATCAAAATATTTTCTGGAGTGGACCATTCAATTACACGAGTTGTGACGATTCGAAAAGACGCTAAAATAGAAAATGTATTAACGAATCTAAAGATATTCAGCCAAGTACTTCACCTTTTCTATTCAAAATCATTGAATTGAATTGAATTATTGAATAGCAATCGAGTTTTTGTTTATTATTTGTGCTTTTCTGTGCTTTTCTGTGCGCATTTTCTGTAGATACGTGTACTCTTTTGAAACAAAAACGTTTAAAATGCTAAATCTTATTGAAAAGAAAAATTTGATTGTCTGTTAACATTTATAAATCCCATTTTTTTATCAATTGAATAAACGATTTCCATGGCGAACATTTATAAGTTTTCACGGGATAGATTTGTGTATGGTTTTCGTGATTTTTCTTCAACGAAATCGTGAATTTCTTCCTTCTGCTACACTATCGTTTCAATGTTTCACGCTTTTTTTTCTATTGACTGCCACGAAGCGTCGTGGTGGGACGCTCTTGATCCAGCTTCGAACGTCGGTGCAAAGGGTGCGCTAAAAAAAATTGTCACGACACAGCTGGGAGTCGAACCCAGATCGTATAGGCCGTATACAAGCGTGCTCTCAACTGCGCCAAGCATGCGTCGCCTGAAATATCGAGAAAAACCCGCTGTTAGACGGGTTTTTCGACTGGTTCCTTATAAAGTTGCTCTCTAATTCTTGGGCTTTCAACAATTTCCCTTTTAGGACACTTATTTCGCAGCTCGTGCCCTTTACGAGTACCGTAGTCGGAAAGTCGACATCGGGCCGCCGAATGAGAATCTCATTGTTGAGATCTCGGCTCCGCATTTTGCCAAGAAAATAGTTAATGTTACTGATACGTCAATGCTGATTTATGTAAGTTAACATTTTCTAACGATAAAAATAACTAAAGTTTAGCTGCCGACAAACGTTCGAAATATCACAATCAAAACAAAAGGCTTTGGTAAAGTAAAGGCCGGGATTCGTGTATTAGCTGCAAGGGTGAGTGAAAGTTCAATTTAAGAAGTTAATTAGTCAATTTAAGAAGTTAATTAGTCAATTTAAGAAGTTAATTTGTCAATTTAAGAAGTTCATTTCGTCTATCAAATCTTTATCAAGTCTAAAAATCATTGGATTTCGATTTTTTTATGTTTTATAAGTTGAAAATCGAATATTTTAGCGACAACGAAATCGAAGAGAGCTTTCGGAGCCGGATCTTCCAATCAAAATGACTGTTAATCAGCAAAAAGATCAACAACGAGATATCATTATGCAGACTGTTTGTTTAACGTGAGTAATTTAACTAATTTAGTTAATCAGACAAAAAAATCGAAACCGACAATTGTAACCGACGTCTACTGGACAATTTTTTTGACTTCTTGTTCTTGTTCTTGTTTGCATTGATCGCTTCTTGCTTTCTGCACGAATTTGGCACTCGTTGACGCCAAAATGTCTTCCCGTTTTGCACGTAATTCATCCGATCGAGCCGTCACAGTGATACGAGCCTTGAGTACTTTTCGAATATCGGGGAAGCGATCCGATTATCGGGAGAGCGAAAGGAAAATCGGGGGAGCAAGCGCTCCATATGTTGGCAGCGCTCCATATGTCCTATATTATACAAACTATCGCCATAAAATCCGCGAATTACCCGTTATTGTCGTGATTGTCCCTGGCTTCATAGATAAATAAACTTTAAAATTGTGACCAACGGCTTGCTTTGTTGCTTTGCAAGCTTTGCAAAAAGTTATCGACTCGAGTTCCTCTTGAATGCTTGGGGGCCTTTCGCCGTCCGCAAGTGTCACATACCCAGCGAAATAGATCTTTTCCCTTTGAGCGGACTTTCATCGATTCGCCACATTTGCAAATCCACGACTGACTGACTGATGACTCCTTTGGTGACGAAATAATCGATTGCCGTCGATTCTTTGAACGCACAAATGTCGGAGGAGCGCTCCCCCTATTTTCCTTCCGCTCCCCCTATTTTCCTTTCGCTCCCCCGATATTGGAAAAGTACCGAGCCTTGGAGTGCAATCGGATCGATCCAAATGGTCCAAATCAGCTGATGGGTCGATCCAAATCGATCTATCAGCTAGCTTTGCCTAGACTGGCTTGCTAAAGCTTTGTCTAAGTCTTTTAATAAAATAAATACGGATTTGATAAAAAAATAGAGAGAAGATTACAGAGAATAGGCTAGAATTACAAAACTACAAACTACAATTTAGCAAATCACTTTCAGTTCTTTGTCTCCATTAATCGACACTTTCGAGATCGTTCACGGGCTTTTCACCGGTTTCACAACTTACTTTGACAAGGTGGAAATCGTTGGGGTAAATTTGCAAAATTAAAGCAAATAGTTTTCATAAACCAATTTCAGCAATCCGATCTCAAAATGATCAATCTGCCGATGGTTTCCTCGTATGCGATTCATATGACCGTTCAGCTGAACAAAACGAACACACAAGGATGTTATAAAGTGAGCGGAAATTGAGATAAAGGCTTTAATTAAAGGCTTTAAGTATTGGAACCGTATTAGATCAAAAGAGGAACCGTATTGGATAAAAAAAGAACCGTATTGGAACCGTATGGGAAAAACCGTATGGGAAGAACCTATGGGAAGATAAACGCCCTTTTTTAGTCCTATTCAATTATCCAATTCATCCAGATAGCGCTTTTTTAAGTTAGTAATTATTTTAGACCTTTAGTTGATGGTTTCTAGTGTAGCTTACAAGAAATTTGATATCTAGAAGGATAGCTGAATAGCTGATTAAAGATTAGATAGCTGATTAACGATTAGATAGCTGATTAACGATTAGATAGCTGATTAAAGATCAGATAGCTGATTAAAGATCAGATAGCTGCTCAAGATCAGATTCATTCATGATCTGTTTAGGTAGCCGTTTTCCCGCCAAATCATCCCCATGAGCCGACCTCTTTAGCGCCGGTGGAGATCAGTTGTCGACATCCAGTAAATGGTGAGTGATTACTTGTTTTTTGAGTTCAATTCTATTTTCGAGTTCAAATCTAAACTAGGTCATAGATAAACTAGGTCATAGAAACATTCTAGATATCGTTGGTCAAGTGTTGATCTCACATCCAGATGCGGTGGCTCGGGGGAAAACAAAACGAAACGCCGCCGTGCACGCCGTTTTGAGGCTGAGAAAGGTCGACTGTTTGATTGAAAAAGATTCTGAATTGAGATTAAAACTAAAAGTAATGGTAATTCTCTCTAATAATAGTGTACAACCAATGGTATTCTCTCTAATAGTAGTGTAAAACCAATGGTATTCCCTCTAATAGTAGTCTAATACCCGCCGAGCCGAGTTGACAACTACTTTACGGTTTTTCTAGTGATCGAAACCTTATGTTTGTGCTATTTGTTGATGGAAAATTTGTTTGGGAAAATTTGCTTGTCGGTGCTCTTGGTTTAGCGCAATCGTCTGCAGATTGATCGTTCGAAAAGCGTCGATTACCACCTGAAAACTTTGCTCTACATACCTTGTTTTCTCTAATAATATTGCACTCCGATTTGATGACTATTTTATGGTTTCTAAGTTTTCCCAGAAGCTCAACACTCAAATCCCCAGCTAGATCTCATTGTCAGCTACATTTTCCGACTCCACATTGATAGGTTCTGGTTTTTGAGATTCCGAGTAACTTAAGCAAAGCCTAAGATTCGCTACTATTAGAGAAATAACGGTATATCAATGTTTCACTGTACATCGATCACCGTCTAAACGTTTCTCGGTTGGCCCATTGTACTGCACGTCACTTTTCGAGTTAGACAATTTGTTTTTGAATCGATACTGAAGGTTTAATACAAGCTCTAATACCTCTCTAACACTCCTAGCCAAGTTGATGACTATTTTACGGCTTCCAAAGTTTTCCCAGAAGCTCAACACTCAAATCCCCCGCTAGATCTCATCGTCAGCTACATTTTCCGACATCGATAGGTTCTGATAAGCGGTTTTCGAGGAATTTAGCCAAAGCTTAAGGTGCGCTTTTCATTCGCACCGATTCGGGACCTTCAAACTGTTTATCTCTTTTCTGGGATTCCCTGAACCATTCGATTGTTTATTATATTGTAGTCTAACGTAGTCTAGCGTCAAAAAGGCTAAAAAGCGGCTTAGTCACTTCTTCTTCCCCTTTACGGATTCGAAAAAGGAAGCACCTTGTACCAAAGGGAAAAAAGCAAGTGTGATTTTTCTCCGCGAGTTATCAGCGAGGAATTTTCGGAACCTTATGTTACCGCGGTTTGCCAGATGGCGAGCGATTGCACAAAGAAAACCCGATCATTTCCTAGGGATTCCACTTGCTTTAGAGTCAAAAAAAAGTGCTTTAGTGCTTCTAGAGTCACAAAAAGATATTCATCTGTAAATTTGTACCTAGGGGATTTTCAGGGTCAGGAAATCTATTGGAGATATTTATTCTATTGAGGCTAAGAATTGGAACTGAAAAAAAGGTCTCAAAAATGCCTAGCTGAGACTGTGAGTTCTCTGTACAGATAAATGTAGTGAGTTCTCTGTACAGATAAATGTAGTGAGTTCTCTGTACAGATAAATGTAGTGAGTTCTCTGTACAGATAAATGTAGTCAGTTCTCTGTACAGATCAATGGAGTGGGTTCTCTGTACAGATCAATGGAGTGGGTTCTCTGTACAGATAAATGTAGTGGGTTCTCTGTACAGATAAATGTAGTGAGTTCTCTGTACAGATAAATGTAGTGAGTTCTCTGTACAGATAAATGTAGTGAGTTCTCTGTACAGATCAATGGAGTGGGTTCTCTGTACAGATAAATGTAGTGAGTTCTCTGTACAGATAAATGTAGTCAGTTCTCTGTACAGATCAATGGAGTGGGTTCTCTGTACAGATAAATGTAGTGGGTTCTCTGTACAGATAAATGTAGTGAGTTCTCTGTACAGATAAATGTAGTGAGTTCTCTGTACAGATAAATGTAGTCAGTTCTCTGTACAGATAAATGTAGTGAGTTCTCTGTACAGATAAATGTAGTCAGTTCTCTGTACAGATCAATGGAGTGGGTTCTCTGTACAGATCAATGGAGTGGGTTCTCTGTACAGATAAATGTAGTGGGTTCTCTGTACAGATAAATGTAGTGAGTTCTCTGTACAGATAAATGTAGTGAGTTCTCTGTACAGATAAATGTAGTGAGTTCTCTGTACAGATAAATGTAGTGAGTTCTCTGTACAGATAAATCTCTGTGCATCAAACTACGAAAACTAAGCTATTGGGTTGTCCAGTTATGAATGCGCGCTTTTACTATTTTGTAAATTTCTCAAGATATCGAACAGTTGTATTTGAGTGTTATATATCATTCGAAAGCTGAAGATCTCCTCTACATTTTGGAATAAAAAAGCTTTTGAATTCATTCAACTTTTTGGGAATTCGACTGCACAAAGGGAGAAGACATTTTCGAAAAAACCCATTCCAGCTTAGCTATTCCTCAAGTTTTATGGTGTAAAATAACCGCCCAGAAAAGAAAAGAAAAGAAAAGATGCTCTGAAATTGTTATATTTTAAAAAAACTTGTATAGATATATCTATTGGCCAAACATCAGACGGTTGACTCAATTTGAGCGGAGCCAAAACTCGATCCAAAGGCACCCTTCCATTTTTTGGTCACCTCTTCTTCTGTGCAGTCAATTTGCCCAAAAGCTCGACAAATTCAAAAGCTTTTATATCAAAATGTAGAGGAGATCTTCAGCTTTCGAATAATACTCATATATATCTTTTTCTTGATTTCGGTATCTTGAGAAATTTACAGAATAGTAAAAAGCTGGACTAGATTCATAATTGGACAACCCAATAGTAAACCTTGTGATTCTGACAATATTCAAGTGTTAAAAGTCGAGAGTCAAAAGCTAAATGTGAAATGCTAAACGTTAAATGTGAAATGCTAAACGTTAAATGCTAAATGTTAAAGTCAAAAGTCAAATCTACACAACCAATCTTTCAGCATTCATCCAAACGGCGAGCTCGTGCCGCAATCGATGAAACGATCGAGTCTGTGTGTTTCAAGTTTGAAAAACTTTGATAATTTTCAATATTTCCTTTCAGTGGTGGTCAGTGTACTTGCGGTGAAAGTACTTGTGCGGTTCGGTGCAATTCCTGTCAACGATCCACCCCGCAAAGCGTTCGGAAAGAGATCTGTCGAGATGGGGCTTTTGGTGAGTTTTGAGGTGTGCTCAAACTTGTAAAGTACTGCTTGTACTGCTTGTACTGCTTGTAAAGTACTGTTCGGTTCAAAAATTGATCTAGACTTTCTAGATTTCTAGATTTCTAGATTTAAATAATTGATCGCTTTTTGAAGACTTCAACTTACCAAGGTGGCTATAGTTTACCTATAACTTTATAGTTTACCTATAACTTTATAGTTTACCCCACTTACAGAAGTGCTTGTCTAGTTTTGGACTTGTTTCAAACAGATTTCTAGGCAGCCAAATTTCGGTCAAAAGCTCAGGACTTGATTTTGTTGAGAAATAAGGTAAAGATCTAGCTTCTAGCTTTACCTAGACTGGCTTGGTAAAACTAGAAGACTGGTTTAGTAAAGCTAGAAGACTGGCTTGGTAAAGCTAGAAGACTGGCTTGGTAAAGCCAGCCAGCTGTCTAAACTAAACAAATCTAAACAAGAACTGAAATAAAGTGCGCTAGATTAATGCACATGAGATCACATAACACGAAAAGGGCCGATAAAAAGCATATAATGGATGCAATAACGTAGCACGGACAACGTCAAGAATCCACTAGAGCTTCAAGATCAAGATCACGATCATCTATAGATAATTTAAAGGTTTCGAGACTATTGGACTCCCTGAAAAAGATTTGAAACATGAAACGGGTTAGCTTGTTACATAGAACACATAAACAAACACAATTATAGTATTTTTCTCTTAAGAAATAGTGTGAAATAGGAAACGGGTTATGTACGGTATTCTCTCTAATAGTACAATAATATGTACGGTATTCTCTCTAGTAGTACCTTGCTTTGCCTTGATTTCGCTTTGCCTAAATTCCCTAAAATCTCGAGAAGCGCTTATCAGAACCTATCGATGTCGAAAAATGTAGCTGAGGATGAGATCTAGTGGGGGATTAGAGTGTTGAGCTTCTGGGAAAACTTAGAAACCGTAAAATAGTCATCAACTCGACTCGGCGGGTATTAAACTACGATTAGAGAGAATACGGTAAATCAATTTCTGATATTAGCACGTCATAAACTCATTGTACACAAGAAAAAGATGTGTTTAAAGTATTTGAGAATAAAGTTTCCCATAAAACTTATAATTTCCATAACAAATTTTCCATAAACAAATAGCACAAATATAACGTTTCGATCAGTAGAAAAACTAGCAAAATATAGTTATTAAAAGAATTGAATATGGTTGGCATTTGAAATTGGCATTTGGGAAAAAGTACAAATTGTCAATTTCCAATTTCTCTCACTTTTCTCAGCCACTTCACTGTTTTCATGGTGTTTTTGGAGATAAAATAGAGAAGAATGAAAGAAAAGAGTACAATTATTCGATTTACATTGAAAGAATTAAGACCAAGGGGTATAAGGATTTCAATAACATCAACTTTTTTCAGGTATCTTCGGTAAACTCATCGAAAAGCGTGAATCCACTATTTCTGTCGGTTCTTCAACTGCCATTTACAATATCTATAAGATGCATGTTTTGCAAACGTTGATGAGAGATGAGATAATCGAAATGAGAAGTGAGATTTTGAGGGGATAATGGAAATTCGGAAGTTTTAGATAATCAAATCGAGATCTGGTTGAGGAAATGCAATCAACGATGCAATAAAGATATTTCGATAAACAAAGAAGAATCGTATTTTGTGATCGGTGACAGAAATGATTTAATTGTGGATACGGATGCTAGGTGAGATGAGAAATACGTAGATTGCGAACGTCAAATCGAAGAAGGGGCGGAATTAACATGGCTGCTGTCTCTGTCATTGGCAATCTAACTTTGAGCTCAAATATCTCGGTGTTGCTATCTCCAATTTCAATATTCTTGGTATCATTGGATTCGCCAAGTCTTTCTCTATCGATTGGTATAAAAACTAATCAAATTGGATCATCGAACACCGAGATATTTGAGCTTAAAGTTAGATTGCCAATGGCAAAGGGGGCGGGGCGCGTATAAAAGACTGAGCAGCAAATTTGAGTTCAATTGAACAGCCTAAAGCCCAGAAATTTGGGTTCAAAGGTGGATTGCTAATGGCAAAGGGGTCTTTCTCTGTCGATTGCTAATGGACGAACCTTTTATACGCGCCGCGCCCCTTTGCCATTGGCAATCCAACTTTAAGCTCAAATATCTCGGTGTTCGATGATCCAATTTGATTAGTTTTTATACCAATCGATAGAGAAAGACTTGGCGAATCTAATGATACCAAGAACATTGAAATTGGAGATTCCAACACCGAGATATTTGAACTCAAAGTTGGATTGCCAATGGCAAATGGACCAAGAAAGGCACCCCGCCCCTTTAAGCTCAGATTTCTTGGTGTTGGATGATCCAATTTGGATAGTTTTTATACCAATCGATAGAGAAAGACTTGGCGAATCTAATGATACCAAGAACATTGAAATTGGAGATTCCAACACCGAGATATTTGAACTCAAAGTTGGATTGCCAATGGCAAATGGACCAAGAAAGGCACCCCCGCCCCTTTAAGCTCAGATTTCTTGGTGTTGGATGATCCAATTTGGATAGTTTTTATACCAATCGATAGAGAAAGACTTGGCGAATCCAATGATACCAAGAATATTGAAATTGGAGATAGCAACACCGAGATATTTGAGCTTAAAGTTGGATTGCCAATGACAAAAGGAGCGGAGCTTATGGGCTTATATACGATGCGATTTATGAATATGAAAATCTTTTTAAATATCAGAATACTAGCCATTCTCATTTATTTCCAATTCCAGAACAAACTACGTGCTCCGATTGACGGATCGTTTCGAAAAATCGGTTTCCGAGTGTGGTCTCTATCAAAATATTTTCTGGAGTGGACCATTCAATTACACGAGTTGTGACGATTCGAAAAGACGCTAAAATAGAAAATGTATTAACGAATCTAAAGATATTCAGCCAAGTACTTCACCTTTTCTATTCAAAATCATTGAATTGAATTGAATTATTGAATAGCAATCGAGTTTTTGTTTATTATTTGTGCTTTTCTGTGCTTTTCTGTGCGCATTTTCTGTAGATACGTGTACTCTTTTTGAAACAAAAACGTTTAAAATGCTAAATCTTATTGAAAAGAAAAATTTGATTGTCTGTTAACATTTATAAATCCCATTTTTTATCAATTAAATAAACGATTTCCATGGCGAACATTTATAAGTTTTCACGGGACAGATTTGTGTATGGTTTTCGTGATTTTTCTTCAACGAAATCGTGAATTTCTTCTTCTGCTACACTATCGTTTCAATGTTTCACGCTTTTTTTTTCTATTGACTGCCACGAAGCGTCGTGGTGGGACGCTCTTGATCCAGCTTCGAACGTCGGTGCAAAGGGTGCGCTAAAAAAAATTGTCACAAGATAAAAGTTCTCATTTTAAAGCAAACAAAAGCAAAAAAGATAAATTTGAACTGAATAATAATTATAAATGATTCAAATTCGACTCAAATCAAATTCAAATCGACCAATTAGCATTTGAGGAGGCTTGCAGGCATTTCGAGAATGCGTCAACGGTTGCAACCAAGGCTGCACCGCTCTTTTCACGCTTTCAACAGTGATTTCATTAAGCTTTCCATGTTTTTGTGGGGTTTTGAATGATCATTTTACTTTTTAAGAAGGCTTTCAACGGTAAATATCTTTTCATTACATAGGCTTTCAAGTCCTAAGTTTCTTAGAAGTACCCTGACTTCAGAAGTACTTCAGAAGTCCTTGAGAAGTCCTTGAGAAGTCCTTGAGAAGTCCTTCACAATGGTGGTCGATTCCATTGAAGCGTATCAATAACTGTTATCAATAGCCTTGTTTTTCTTGTAAGCAGTAAGTTTGAGCTTATTTTTGAGGATCCGATGCAATGAAGTGCTTGAAATCGTCATCTTCTTTACCATTTGCCGATTGGTTTGGCTTCTTTCAAATTCGGTCCCTTATTTGCTTGATGTTTGTCTTTGTGACAAGAGTTGAGCGAAGAGGATGAAGTCAAAAGAAAAACTGATTATAAACCGATGTATAAACCAGTGTATAAACGAGTTTCTTTGTCCTTTTGACAACTATGAAATTTTGAATGCCTGGAGGACTCTTTTGATCTACATTCACTCATTTTTTCGCAACGGAAAAGCTTAAAAAGCAACTGAAAAGCTTGAAAATCAACTGAAAAGCTTAAAAATCAAAACCACTCTTTAAAAAACGTCAAAATTCACAAAAGATTGTGAGATTGTCGATCAACTGATCCACTTGTATAAACGCTTTTTCTCTATTTTTGTGGGGAGTGGGACAAATGCGACCTGCGCACCCGGACATTTGCGCACCTTTTTTTTTGCTGGAAAAGGCCTTAGGAAAAGTCGTAGAGCTTCAAAAACGTTTTCATAGAAGGGAATCGTATGCGTAGATTCCGAATTTCGACAAATCAGACCTCGCTGACACGTCAAATTTCGGCTAAAAGGCAAAAACTGCGGAAAAGCGTTAAGTTGCGTAGCGCAAATTTGCCTTTCAGCGCAAATTTAACGTGTCAGCGAGGTCTGATTTGGCGAAATTCGGAAACTACGATTCCCTTCTATAAAAACGTTTTTGATTTGAGCTTTTCTTTCATTCTTTTCTTTTTTTTTATCTAATACGGTTCCAATACGGTTCTTTTTTTTTGATCTAATAGGTTGATGCATAAGTCTTTTCGTTTTTTTTCGTACTTCTGTTAAAAAGTAACAAATTCACGAATTAATCTATAGTTTGCTCTATAAAAAAAGTGTTTTTTTGTTCAATTTGCATCTTTTTAAATGAATTTCGGTTCACTTTCAAGCAAATTCGAGAGTGAAAAACGCCTTTTGTCGTAAAAATCTATAAAAAACTCTACGGAAAAATTGGCTGAATGAATTTCTCTGAAATTTTGGCGAAATATCAAACGTTTTTTTTCTCTATCTTTTATCTATTGACACGAAGATAGGTTTTCTTTAGCTAAGGTGTCTAAACCGCATCTTTAGCTAAGGTGTCTAAACCGCATCATCGAGTTAGCCCTTTTTGACTACCCGACTTCATACTCTCAAGAAAATCCAGGCATTAAATATTTTTAAACCCGTTTTAATGTTATTTTGCAGAAAAATAATTGGTTTTTCTAATGAAATCAACCGTAGTTTAATTGGTGCATTTGTTGGCTTGAAACGGCAGACGAAAAGGAACGAAAAGACTTATGCATCAACCTAATAATACGGTTCCAATACGGGTAATTCGGTTGTTTTTCGAGGTAATTTCAGGGCGTAGAATCGAAATTTTGACATATCAGAGCTTGTGGAAACAAACGGACGGAGTTATACAAAGAGAAAGATCGACAATTTTCTGTAATTTGATCTAGCCGTTTTGTCTTTCAAAGGCAAAACGTTTTGTCGTTTTGTCTGGTTCCACACGCTCTGTTATGTCAAAATTTGAATTAGACACCCTAAAATTACCTAGAAAAACAACTTTTGGAATAGAAATTGGTTAATATTAGCTTTTTAGAGCTTTTTTAGCTTTTTAGAGCTTTTTAAAACGCGAAAAAAGGTGCGCTAATGGGCAAGGTGCGGAAAAAAAGGTGCGCAAATGTCCAGGTGCGCAAAAAAAGGTCGTATTTGTCCCACCCCCCCTATTTTTGTGTTTATTCTTTTTTCCTCACAAAACTCTGGCCAACATTTCACTCCAAATTCCGTCCATTCGTCGTCGAAAAGGGCAAGGCATTTGAATGTGCGTAAAAATTACGACCTCCTTATTTCTATTCTATTTTTCTTTTGTTTTTTATAATTTCTTTACAATTTTAAAGAAATTAACAATGAAATCTTTTGGAAATTATTTTTTTAAAGTAAAAATTGACAATTTTTTGTATAACATTGCCAATAGCATTGAAAAAATTGAAGAAATTTTCATTTAACATGTTTTTACATTCCTGTTTTTCTCATTTATGTTTAAATCCGGTTCTTTTAGTGTTTTCTGTTTTCTTTTTCTGTAAAAGCTTCCTTTCTGGCCCACGAAAATCGTTTAAAAGTCCCTGTTTTTCCGTTAAAACCCCGGTTTAGTTACGCATTAGTCAAAGAAACAGCTTGGCTTGTGCTTTTCTCTAAACGCACACTTTCTAGAGCACTGAATTCTTTGTCTACAGATAAAATAGAGACTTCAGTACCCTAGAAGGGGTGTGTTTAAGCACAAAGTACGCTAAGAGTCACCAAAGTTGCGTAATTGAGCCGAGTTTTCCGGAAAGGCTGCTTTTACAGATTTAATTCTTTCAAATAAAAGTGTGACATCCAGAACCACGAAAAATTTGTGAATTTTCCAGAAATGGACAACGATGACACTTTGGTCGACACCGAAAGCATTGATTTCTACGAAGAAGAGGTCGAGGAAGAGGCTGACTTTGAGGATTTCGATCAACCACAAATGGGCACTCGAGCCGACAAATCTTTGGCATTATTGACACGGAAATTTGTGAATATTTTACAAAAATCCCCTGAAGGATTGGTCGATTTGAATACTGCGGCAGAATGTTTGAATGTTACGCAAAAAAGACGGATTTACGATATCACAAATGTTTTTGAAGGAGTGGGATTGATCGAGAAAAGGACGAAAAACGTTGTGCAATGGAAAGGAGGCGATTTGTCGAGAGATCGATCTAGAGAACTCAACACTGTCGAGCAACAATATTTGGGTGGGCTTTTTAACTTTAAAAATAGTAAACGCTTTAAAAAATCGTACTTTGATTTTACTTTACACTTAGCATTGTGTTTGAGTTTAAGAATCGATTTAGCATTTAGCTTCCAGGCTTTAGTTTACAAGAGCGAAAGTTCTGTTCTTTTTAGAATTCTCTATGCATTTTTTGAATACTTCTAATCGTCTGAGTTCTAAGTTTAAGAGATTTTCTTTTACTGGTAATACTGGTGCGGCCAAAGAGCTCACCCAAATTGTGATAACTTAAAATCTAAAGAAATTATTTCAAAACTGTAATTAGATTTAAATTCTATGGAAATTTAGTTGTCTTTTGGCTGTTTATGAAATAAAAACAATCATAAAGGGGGGTGGGACAAATGCGACCTTTTTTTTGCGCACCTGGACATTTGCGCACCTTTTTTTTGCTGGAAAAGGCCTTAGGAAAGGTGGTCGTAGAGCTTCGAAAATGTCTCCATACTAGGGAATCGTATGCGTAGATTCCGAATTTCGACAAATCAAAACAAATCAGACCTCGCTGACACGTTAAATTTGAGCTAAAAGGCAAAAACTACGCAACTTAACGCTTTTCCGCAGCTTTTGCCTTTTAGTCCAAATTTGAGGTGTCAGCGAGGTGTGATTTGTCGAAATTCGGAATCTACGCATACGATTCCCTAGTATGGAAACATTTTCGAAGCTCTACGGCCTTTCCTAAGGCCTTTTCCAGCAAAAAAAAGGTGCGCAAATGTCCAGGTGCGCAAAAAAAGGTCGCATTTGTCCCACCCCCATCATAAAGAATTCAATTAAAGAGAATTGAAAAAGAACAGAACTTACGCAGCTTGCATTAGGGTGATGGGAATGAAACTAGCGCTCACATATCTTTTCAAAAATCAAAAGATTGGAAGCTTTAGCTAATAAGTGTTGTATACTATCAGAAAGCCTTGAATCTCTTCTATAAAATAGTTTAAAAAGATTTTGAATTGGATTGATTATTCGGGACTTGAGTGACTTAAGTTGAAAGGTCAAAAAAATGACGATTTTCTAGAAAAAGCTTTTCTGGTAATAGCCATGCCGTTAGATGATCCCATCAAGTAAAGTTATTTTAAAATAAAATCAAAGAAAAGAACTTCTTTTGTATGTCTTCTAGAGCTAAATCTTTGTTTTTTTTTTTGAAAAAGCCCTATTTTAAATCAAAAATGGCTACTTTAAACTTTGAATTCTGATCTTTAGAGCTAATCTTCAGAACTATTGGGTTGGGGACTATGACTCGGCGCCAAACTTTAAAGACACTTTTTGCACGCATAAAGCCTTCTTTAAATATACGTTCTCTTTCATCAAAAGGATCCACTATTTCTCTACAAAATCACTTTTGAGAGATTCCACAAAGCTTTTCTTTCGTGGAGTTTATGAACTTCCAAACGCAGCTGATCAAAATGGCAAAGAGTCTGACTCATCGTTTGAACAGTTTCTTGCACATAAACCCTCTTTGGTGTATATGTAAAAAAGATAGAGTATATTCAATTACATAAGTTGCCAAATTTGCAGGAAGATCCCTTCAACCGTTTTTTCTAGATGACACTTTGTAGTTTTTGTGAAAAAATGGCCTTTTCTTGAGCTGAGGCGCTGTTTGAGTTTTCTTTTAAATGTCATTTTGTAGAGAATTAGTTCACTTTTCTACTGATATCAAACACGTATCATTTGACGAAGTCTGCTAGAATTTTCAGAAATTTTTTTGATTTTCGGCGCCGAGTCATAGTCCCCAACCCAATATTACGTCAAAAAAATGACGATTTTCTAGAAAAAGTTTTTCTGGTAATAGCCATGCCCAGGTTTTTCGTTAGAGAATACCACCAATTAAAGTTATTTGAAAATAACATAAAGAACTCCTTTTATTTCTTTGTCTTCTAGAGCTAACTCTTTGTTTTTTCAAAAAGCCACTTTCAACTTTGGTTTCTCATATCACGATAGAATCTAAGCTAATCGTTTAAGTTTTGGTATAAATATTAAGTAATGCATACCAGAGAGGGTATTAATCGCAACCGGATAACCATAAAAAATCTTTATTAAGGCAACAACCTGTTTTTATATTTTAATATTGCTTTTTATTATAAAAAGAATAAAAATCATCGGGCTAGAGTGATTTGATGGGTTTAGAAATTTTTGAAGACGTCGCAAGGCTTGGAGAAAAGCAAGAAGCTCACTCATCAGGCATTAGGCACAAATGATTGCTGTCATGTTCAATTCATTTGTTTTCTAGTCAATCTTTCTTTCTTTTCCTATTTTTGGGAAAGTTTTTCACAATCTGAGCATCTTTGTTTCTTCAATTGAGCAAATTTAAAAATAATAAATGCTAGGTTTTCGATTAGCTCTTCTTCCATCTCAATTTTCTTTAAAAACTCTAAAAATATATTTTATGGTAAAGAAAAAACCCAAAAATATACATTAAAAGCCTAAAGAAAACGAAAAGAAAACATAATGCGTGACTTTTACTTTACTTTTTTTACACTTACTTTATAGATGAACTACGTGAGCCTTGCAAGATCTTCAAAAATTTCTAAACCCATCAAATCACTCTAGCCGGATGATTTTTATTCTTTTTATAATAAAAAGCAATATTAAAATATAAAAACAGGTTGTTGCCTTAAAAAAAATTTTTTTATGGTCACCCGGTCGCGATTCATAACGTCCTTTTAATATTTGAAACATTTGAAGCAAAAAGATCCGTGAAAGCGATAGTTGCCAGCAGGCACATGTACCCGGGTTTTGACTCGACCTGCAGTTACTTTTTAACACCAAATTCCCCAATAATCAATCTAATTCAAAATCTTTTTGGACTATTTTGTAGAGGAAAATCAGGCCTTTCGAACAGTATTCAACACTTATTGGCTGAGATTTGAAATCTTTTTTATTTTTGGGAAAGATATGTGAGCGCTGGTTTCATTTCCATCACCTTATAGATTTAAGCGCAAGTAAAATTGAGAAATCTAATAAACTCTTAGGATAAGTTAGTGGAAAAACGATTGTTAAATTTTAGAAGTAGGGTAGCTTAGCCTGGTTTAGACTGGCTTTATTGTTTGGATATTGTAGCAGTATTATTGATACTGATCTAGTACTTTAACTAGCCTAAAAGTAGTAGAGTTGTAGAGTTGCTCTTTAATCAAATCGTTTTTTACCGTAATCTTGTCTATTTTTATGCAATCTATTCACTTTTTATCTCATTTTGTGAAGCTTAAGATATCGAAAGATATAGAAAATTGACAAGTTTACAATAGAAAGAGACATGTTTTAAAAAACGGAATTCTTTTCTATTTTAACTAAACAAAATTCATTCAATTTTCAGCCCAACTCAAGAGTGATTGTGCCGACTTGGACAAGAAAGAATCCCAAATTGATGAACACATTCGATGGCTGAAGCAAAGCATTAAAAACATCACGGAAGATCCACAAAATATGAGTCATTCCTATCTCACTCAAAACGATTTACGCTCCGTTTTCCCACAAAAGACACTCTTCACTTTGCACGCGGCCCCCGGGACATCCGTTGAAGTGATGCACCCGAAATCCGGGCTTGATCCACGATATTCTTTGAGGATGAAAAGTTCCGTTGGACCGGGCACAGTTTGTTTAATTACTTCTGAAGAACCGAGAAATTTTGCTCGAAATGAGCCACAAAATTTCGATGATCCTGGGCAAATTCTAGAAGGAGAAGAAGAAGAAAATGATGGAGAACAGAAAAAAAATCAACTTGAGGGTGTGATTCAACGATTGAGTCCACCACCTTCAGAAAAAGATTATCATTTAAATGTGAACTTAAATGAGAGTTTATTTGACTTGTACAATGATCAGGATAATGATTTTTGATCTCGTTTTTAGCGTTTATACTAATTTTTGTCTGATTTTAAAGTCGTTTGATAAGTTTAAAACCATTAGATAAGATGTTTTATCAAGTCTGCATTGGCTTGTCAAACTTTTTTTTCTTGCTAAATATTTAATATTGGTGCTTTCTTGCTTTGTGATACAATTTTGTACACTTTGAGTGTGAAAAATGAACAATTTTGAACAAAAAAAAAAGCAAAATTTTCACGAAAATGCAGAAAAAGAAAGCTTTTTAGTGTCAGAAGTGGGGAGTGGGACAAACGCGACCTTTTTTTTGCGCACCCGGACATTTGCGCACCTTTTTTTTCGGCACCTTGCCCATTAGCGCACCTTTTTTCGCGTTTTAAAAAGCTCTAAAAAGCTAATATTAACCAATTTCTATTCCAAAAGTTGTTTTTCTAGGTAATTTGAGGGTGTCGAATCGAAATGTTGGCATATCAGAGCTTGTGGAAGCAGCGAACGGACGGAGTTATACAAAGAGAAAAATCAACAATTTTCTGTAATTTGACCTAGCCGTTTTGTCTTTCAAATTGATTCCACACGCTCTGTTATGTCAAAATTTCGATTCTACGCCCTAAAATTACCTAGAAAAACAACTTTTGGAATAGAAATTGGTTAATATTAGCTATTAGAGCTTTTTTTAAAACGCGAAAAAAGGTGCGCTAATGGGTTAAGTGCGGAAAAAAAAGGTGCGCAAATGTCCAGGTGCGCAAGAAAAAGGTCGCATTTGTCCCACTTCCCAAAAGTGTTTTGATTGATCTTTATAAAGTAAAGAAATGAATGACGGTTGGAAACAAAGAGAATTGAACCCTCGATCTTCGGGTTACCAAGCAGAAGGCGATCGGCAGATCTACCACTGAGCTATCTGACATTCTTTGATTAAGAAATAGGAAAGACAGGGCAGAGAGAGGAAGGAAGAAAGAAAGGGAGAAAGAAAGAAAGGAAGAAAGAGAAGGAAATACTTTGCTTCCGTTGTGCGACTTCTTCTTGTGACCATCGGTTCGATTTGCTCCAACATTCGCATTTCGAGCTCAAAAACCTGTCCCACATTTTTTCTCATTACAAACCAGTTAAAAAATATTCGTTTCGCTTTAATTCATTAATTCTTTGATTCTTTAATTCAGGCTCTGAAATTCTCTGAAAATTTAATTTTCTGAATAACTTTACTCATTTTTTGTGACAGGAAACTAATAAATAAATATAAAAAGAATCATGAGATACCTATAGATTTAATTGTATGAGTTGAATCTTATTGTTGAATCTTATTCTCTCTTCTTCCCAAGTTCAATCCTGTGCAATCCCCAGCTCTCTTTTCTGAGAGATATAGAGGAATCATTTTTCTTATCACAGAGCAAAACTTTTATTTCCTTGCAAGAAAAATCTTGTTCGGCTTTGATCGGAGAGCCAAATTGATCAAATTTTCTTACTTTTCTGCTTTTTAAATCAACAACTATGATTACTGAGGTTTGTTTTTATTATAATATAACCATTATTCTCCCTTCTTCCCAAGTTCAATCTTGCGCAATCCCCAGCTCTCTTTCTAATGTAAAAATCAATCACCTTTCCTTATCACAAAGCAATACTTTTATTTTCTTGCAAGAAAAATCTTGTTCGGCTCTGATCGGAGAGCCAAATTGATCAAATTTTCTTACTTTTCTGCTTTTGTGCTTTTTAAATCGACAACTATGGCCACTGAGGTTTGTTTTTATTATAATATAATCTTAAAGAAATCAGGATTATTAACTTGTTGTCTGAATATTCAAGGAAGCTGTAAATAACAAAAGCTTCTCATTTGTCTGGTATTCTTTAATTCTTTACCGTTTTTAAAGCTTATCAGGCATTTTATATTCGCCTCGCCCCTTTTTCCATTAGCAATCTAACTTTTAGCTCAAATATCTTTGTATTCGGCTGACCAATTTAAAGATTCTTGGTATCATTAGATGCGTAAAGTCTTTCTCTGTCGATTGGTATAAAAACTATTTCAATTGCATAGCTCAACACGAAGAAATTTAAGCTTAAAGTTGGATTGCCAATCGCAGGGGGGGGGGGGGCGTATTAAATGTCCTACAATCGTTTTTAAACCAAAACTCCTGATCGAAAATTGATTCCAAATTATAGTTCGATCTCGTCAAGCAAGATTTGGCTCGAGAAAGGGGGGAACGCCAACGACTTTCGTTGGAAAACAGCCAATTGAAGCAACAATTGGCTGCGTTGAGAAAGGATAAAACAGAGGTGAGGAAGCATAAATACCTAGAATTAGAAACTAGCCTTCATCCAAAATGTCTAAAGTTCAATTTTAACCATATGTGATGGATTTTTGTTAAGAAAAACAAAAAATACTTAAATTTTTAAATAAACAATAATATTTGAATCGATCTGGATAAAAACTGGTTCAACTCGAAGATAGTAGATCCAAAAAACAACTCTAGACTTTAACGACTTCAGAAAATCGAAAACCTATGCTGGGATAATATCCGTCTCAAGTTTAGGTCGTCGAACCGGAGACAGACATTCGGATCCAATTTATCGAAAAAGATTTGTTGATTCATCGACTTCAAGAAGAGATACAGTAAATAAATATTAAATATTTCTCTTGAATTTCTCTTGAACTCTTAGAAATCGTGGCTCCACTAAAGCATGTCCGGAAGTTGTAATCCCAAGAAGAATTGAGGTCGAGGATAACTGTGACATTGAAATGCTGAATCTAGAGATGCCGGACGATTGCTTGCCTGCACTTATTGCGGTGAGTTAATAAAATAAAAAAGAATGGGAATGAATCTGGAAGCAAGGGAAATGAACCCTGAACCTTTTGTTTTGGATTTCATTGGCGCTTGGTACTCCTGGCTATAACGGCTTTCCTAAAGCAAGTCGACGTGTCTCTGTAGTGTAGTAGGCAGAGCGGTGGCTTCTGGCTCCAGGGGTCGAGGGTTCGAATCCTTCCTGAAGTTTTTGCTTTTAGTGATTGTCTTTAATGATTCGAACCCTCGACCCCTGAAGCCAGAGGCCACCTCTCTGCTGACTACACTACAGAGACACGTCGACTTGCTTTAGGAAAGCCGTTATAGCCAGGAGTACCAAGCACAACTTTTCTGTTTTGTTGAAAACTTTAAACTTAAATATCTCGTGATGCAGGTCGAGTTGGCAGCTAATTTTTGCAGATTATGAATCTCCGTTGTCGATTCTATAAGGTCCACTTGGTTTCGGATCGATTCCCAACTTTGAGTTGAGCCCATTCCCTCGTAAGAAGAAATAGGAAAGACAAGGAAGAACAAATTGGCCGCTGCTCGTTGCTCGCTTGCAACGCACCCTTTCTGGCACATTTATCCTTCATTTTTTTCACAAGAATGAGCATCATGTATGCCAGAAGAGATTTGTTTACATTAGAGCTCTAATTTTCGGTCTGATTTTCAATAGGTTTAATAGGTTTCAATAGGTTTTTCATTGTACAGTGAAAAACGAGTTTGCCCCGCTTCAACGACTACTTTTTCAGAATCTCCTAAATAAAAATCGATTTTTTTCAAGCTCTATCTTTTGATCTGAAAAAGCATCCATTGAAGTGATCAAAAACTCGTTTTTCCGTTGTACACCCATTGATAATCAGACGGAAAATGAACAGGACAGGAAAACTGGTTTAGGATAAACTCGAGGGTCAACGCGTCACTTGTCCGTCGTGTGTCGAGCCAGACGGGACACAAATTCTTCGAAATCTTCGAATCTGCGAGGATCATCTTAAAGTTTTTTTGAAGTTTAAAAAAAATTTAAGAATATTCAGGCAAAACATAACAAAGAGCTGTTAGAAATGTCGAATGAGGAATTGGAATTGGCGGTAAGTTTTTGAAAAAAGTAAAATTTAAACCTTGAGCAGTTTCTAAAGCGTAGAAAAGTTTCGTAATCCGATTGTTTTTTAAAGTTTTAACTGCTAGATCAAATAAAGTTAAACCAATGGGATTACGGCAGCTTTTCCTAATAACTGCTCAGCTGATAGTGAGTAGCTGCTTTAGAAAACAGTTTAGATAAAAAACGAGGCTTTTTGTACGGATTGCTTTCAAAGCTCACATCGAATGTGCAAAGGGGAAATGCCGAATTTATTGGATTTGAAGGTTTGGAAGGATTTCAATTTCGATTACCTACTGTAAATACTGTAATTGAACAGCATGCCGTTCTAGTAGAGGATGCCGTTCAATTTTTATCGATATTCTAAGTTGCCAAAGTCGACTGCATTCAGATATTTCGACAAAATCAAATTCTTCTTTAAATTGTATTCAATTTGTAACAACAAGTTTGTAATTTTGTAACAAATCATTCAATTTGTAACAAAATGAACAATTCAACTATCGCAATCAACAGAAACATCAGAATCAATGAATTCATCATTTTCTTCTTGAGCTTTCCTTCGTCACTTCAAGCATTCCATCCGTGACTTTTCTTGAAAGAATCGATTCATCAGCAAATCGATTTGCCTCATTCCAAACGTTTCAACGGGCCACTCGTTTCTTTTCAACTCAGCTTTCTCGGATTCATTCAGCCAAACCGACATCAATCCCCTCCGAGTTCAAGTTGGCGCCCAGCTCCATCAACTCTCTTGTGTTTCCCGTGAATCTTCTCGAGCTCGGTCGCTTGTTTGACGTAAAATTGGACGTAGCCCCGAGAAACCTTGAAATATCTTGCCGCCGCGATGATCGAAACATCCTTGGCCATCTTTTCAGCAGCCAGTTTCGTCTTCATTTCGATGGCTTTCCTCTTTTTCTTTGTGGTTGATTCATCCGATTTGCTTGAAGATCCTTCAGGTTCAGCGGTGGCCGAATTTTCGTTAACATCTTGCTCGGTGAGCTCATCACATGTTTCCCTTATGTTCGTAACGGGCCTGAAATTCCTCCATTCCATCAAACGGGTCCCCATCAAGGTCCATATCTAAAAAAATAAAATTAGTACTTATAATAATATAATAAGCAGAAAAAAAAATAAAAACATCAAAATTTAAGCTAAAAAGACGTTAGATGCAAGTAATTTTCAAGAAAAAAGAAATATTTCTAAATGTAAAACGTAATTCGTACACTTGCGTAGAGGTGCCATTTATTTACAGTATTTACTTTAGTTTTAATTATGACTTAGTTTAATTATAAAAAATTTTAGAAGCATTCTAAAGGCCGAAAGATGTTAGAATACTTGGAGACATTGAACGCTGAGGGAAGGGTCAGCAAAATGACGGCAAAGAGGAGCATTGCAGTCACGAAAGAGGTTTTGGTGTACTTTGTGCTCAAATTTCTAAACGCATCTTTTCTGGTGCACCAATCTTTAGCTATTCTTGCTGTAGATGCTCAGTAATCCATCTTTTCATCAAATTCTTCAGGATTTAATCGCTAAAGTGAAAGAAATGATGAAAACTGACGTGAAAACTCCGGTTGTTGACGCCTCTGTGACTCAATTGGCAAAAAAGATTCAAGATTTCACGAAAACTGTTCTTGATCTCGAGGGAAATATCGATTCCGTTTGGAGGAAGGTTTGAACTTTAAGCAAAGTTTTTTTTTTTAACTTTAAGCAAAGTCAAAAGTTTTCAAAGAGAAAATCAATGGACAATGAGTCTTCAGATGGTCGAGATCAGTGCTACGCCGTCCTAATATATATATATATATATTTTCTATTTTTGTGCACAAATAAAACCATCTTTCAACAAAGCAATTTAATAGAAAACATTACATTCTGTAAGAATATTTTAAAAAGTTGAAATCAGACTTAAGAAGACGTGAAAAACAGGTGTTCAATTTAACGCTGACTTTCCTTAGACCGGAAAGGAAAAATTAGGGTCAAAGTCCGATTATGCGAAGAATATAGACCAACTGAAATGTGTATAGAACTGCGTGATGATTTTTCGCTGATTAAAAGGGGGGTACTCCGGCCTAAAAGTTGACTTTTAAGAATCGCGATTATTTATAGATTATTCGATGCGTTTTAGTCTTTTCTACCACTATTTCCTATATAAAAACAAGGTTTCGAATTGAGAAATGAAGAAAAAACACAATTTTTGCTTTCCGCTTCACCCTAAAACGTGGATATTTAGGCAGAAAGTATATAAAAGTTCCATCCAATTGCATTTTAGCTCTTGCTTTCTTTCTTTTGCATGTATTTTCTCAAATTTAACAGCAATCTTAAACATTTTTTGTTATTTAATAGAAAACATTACATTCTAAAGAATAAGAATAAGAATAAAAGAATAATTTAAAAAAAAAATGATGATCAGACTTATAAAGACGTGAAAAAGAGGTGCTCAATTTAACAATATATAATATGCTTTATTCAGTTGAATAGCGACAAAACAAAATGACAATAATTACCCGGGACACCACTCAAAACACACCCAAAAGATAAATAGATACCTCAAGAAAGAAGCACAGAGCAGTCAAATCAATTGCAGAAATTGCGGCTTTAAATCTAGCCAAGGTGAGAATATCACGAACATGAGGGGGTAAAATGTTCCAGAATTTAATAACTCGATTAGAAAAGAAACTGTGGGCGCTTTTAGAGGAAACAATGACTTTCTTTAGACCGGAGTAACGGTTTAAAAGCCCAGAAACGAGATTCGTATGCTCATCACAATTCATTCGCCCTTCAATGTTGATCAAGATTCCTTAGCCCCTACAAAAATTGTTCTAAAAGAAATTCTTCTTCATAAAAGTTCCTCACAATCAGTGAATTCGTTCTGCGTGTTTTCCCGTTATCAACAAATTTTAAGAGTCGCTTTGTGAAGAGTTTATCGAATTTTTTCTTTGCCAATTTCTCTAAAATTTTGTTTACAAGCTGAAAATGTTGATTTCTATCTTGTCAATGTTTTTTTTTTAGTTTGGCTCTTGATTGAATGCCGACAGGATTCGTTTTTTGAGCTTCTCTGATAGATTGGAAAGTATTGGTATTCTAAAAAATATCAGAATTAGAAAACAAATAGAAGTTTTTACCTTAAAACCCTAAAAAAAAGTTCTTAAACCTTAAAAAAAGCAATACTCATGGAAAAAGAGTCAGAAAATCAAAAGGATAAAAGTTCAAGTAAAAATAAATAAAGTTTCAAAGTTAAAAATAATAAAGAAACAATAAATATATCAAATAAATTTTGATGCGAATCATTTCTTCTATTTTTCTTGATCATTTCTCAATAGCGCTTTTCTGTAAATGGCTAGACGGCCAGCCTGGCTAGACGCTGAGCAGAGTTCATCTCATCAAATCCCTTCTAAACCATGTTCCCTCTTTCTACCGTAATCTTGTCTCTATTTTAATCCAATCTATCTACTTGTCTGACTCTACCGTAGCCTTGCCTCTATTTTAACCCAATCTATCTACTTCTCAGATTCATTCAGGATTCACTTATTCTGACTCAACCTTCGTTTTCTTCGCCAATTTCACTCAAATTTTGTCTACAAGCTGAAAATGTCGATTTCTATCTTGTCAATGTTTTTTTGAGTTTGGTCCTTGATTGAATGCAGAATTCGTTTTTTGATCTTCTGATTCTCTGATTCTACCGTAACCTTGTCTCTATTTTAACCCAATCGCTCTACTTCTATGATTCTACCGTAACCTTGTCTCTATTTTAACCCAATCGCTCTACTTCTATGATTCTACCGTAACCTTGTCTCTATTTTAACCCAATCTCTCTACTTCTATGATTCTACCGTAGCCTTGTCTCTATTTTTGTCCAATCTATCTACTTGTCTGATTCTACCGTAATCTTGTCTCTATTTTTGTCCAATCTATCTACTTGTCTGATCCTACCGTAGCCTTGTCTCTATTTTAACCCAATCTATCCACTTGTCTGCTTCTACCGTAATCTTGTCTCTGTTCTTATCCAATTTATCTACTTCTCTGATCCTACCGTAGCCTTGTCTCTATTTTAACCCAATCTATCCACTTGTCTGATTCTACCGTAGTCTTGTCTCTATTTTAATCCAATTTATCTACTTCTCTGATTCTATAAGCATTCACAAAGGATATTGAAAGATATAAAAAGTGGATAAAAAATAGAGACAATATTACGGTAGAAAGAGAAATGGGCATAGTTTAAAAAGCTGATTGAAAGAGGGACAAGATCAATCCAAATGCTTGAGTATATTGTCTTTCAAACAGGCCATTATAATCTCTAAATTTCAACGACAATTTCTAATGGACTTTGAACACTCTCCAATTCTCTTGAGCAAAAGAATTGCATTTGATTTCGAAACCTTTTTTCTTGCACAATTGTATTTTCTCGTGCGATTTTCTCGCGAAAACTTTTTCATTTTACGCGATTGGAAAGCTCGAATTTTACTTTTTATAGATTTGATTTACTTTTGATTTACTTTTGATTTACTTTTGATTTACTTTTGATTTACTTTTGATTTACTTTTGATTTACTTTTAATAATAATACTTTATTCAAGCGATAAAGTGAAAGAAATGATAGAGAAATGCACAGTGATACTTAATCATACAATACATACTGAAATCAATAAGCCAATTACTTACGGCAAAGAGCCACTAGATCTAAAGCATCGATACGTTTCTTGAATATGAAAAGCGACTGAATTTCTCGTATGTCGTTTGGGAGCAAGTTCCATAATCTAGCGGCTCTAATGGGAAATGAATTTGATAAAGAGGCATTGGAAGCAATTTTGATTTACTTTTGATTTACTTTTGATTTACTTTTGATTTACTTTTGATTTACTTTTGATTTACTTTTGATTTACTTTTGATTTACTTTTGATTTACCGTATTTACTCTATTAGTGGGGTCCTCTCTAATAGTGGGGTCCTCTCTAATAGTGGGGTCGTCTGGAGGGGGGTTGAAAAAATAGTGGGGTCCTCTCTAATATTGGTAACGAAAGTGATACATCAATTGTTGATCTCTTGGATTAGTTCTTTTACTGTTTGTTAATGTTTTGTTACGGTTAAAGCTAAATAAAATATGAAGCCAAACTTGTTTTTTCAAGAATTTCGGAGAAAAATTGATATCTTTTCAACTTAAAACTTTGGTTTTATGTTCTTTTAAATTTCTCTAATAGTGGGGTCCTCTCTAATAGTGGGGTCGTCTGGAAGGGGATTGAAAAAATAGTGGGGGACCCCACTAATAGAGTAAATACGGTACTTTTGATTTACTTTTGATTTACTTTTGATTTACTTTTGATTTACTTTTGATTTCCTTTTGATTTGATTACTATTCAAAAGAATTCACTTATCTATTTGTATTTGTAAGCTAGGTTCCGAGAAAATTTCCGGGAAAATCTCTGCTCTTTCTCGTCAAACCTCGATATTTCTCGCGTGAAAACTTTTTCATTTTAGGCGTTTGGAAAGCTCAAATTCTACTTTTCGAATAGCTATTTCGCTTTTTATTTTCGCAAACATGAACGACAAGGAAATTGTGAGTTTATTTAAAGCTTAACTTTTGTAAAATACTCTAATTTATCGATTTAAGTCGGGTTAAAAGCCGGTTATTCTTTTTATTTTATATTGATCTTGTTATATCGATCTTGATTTTGAATTACCCCAAAAATTCCATAGATAAGAGCGGTTTAATTTTTGCAATAATTTTTTTTAATATTTTAATTTATTATAAAACCAAACAACAACAAAAGTAACAATAATTTAACTAATATTTTTTAATATTAGTTAAATTATTTAATTTAACTTTACCCAAGTTTAATTACCCAAGTTTGAGAATTCGGTGCTCGGACGTTCTCGGAGAATTGCATTGTCGGTCTCGGACAACACGTTTCCGCTGTGAATGCCCTCGTCGTCGCAGTCAACTTGTTCGAGATGTTATTCGTGAATGGCCACACTCCGCTCCACATCCTCACCTGTCAACAGCCTCATTTCACTCCCATAGGACTCCAATTGGCGATCGATTTCATGCATTCACGCGCAATTCGAGTGCAATTTCATAAGTTAACGGATGCAATGGCGGCTGCGCACGCTCGGGGAATATCGGATATGATGCACGCGCTTGAGCTCAAGGCTGTGAAAGTGACACTAAATGACTGCCTTGCTTGTTCGGGGTGTATTACATCGGCAGAGACGGTTCTCATCGATGCCCAATCACTCACATCGCTTTTAAATGGGATTGCAAAGAGTTCCCTATCCGTAGTCTCCGTTTCTCCACAATCTGTATGCTCAATCGCAGCTCAAAGAAGAATATCCGTTCCTGAAGAATATCGTTTTTCATTTTAGAAGAGATTTTCTTTTTTTCTTTAAGCTATTTTTAACGGACTTGTTTCTAGTTCAAATCGATGCGCTGCTTTGTGGCGAACTAAATTTCGTTTTTTTTTGAGATTTGCTTTTCATGATTTTTTTGATTTTTTTTTTCTGCAAACTCTATCTCTAGAATAGATAAATTTTCAATTTCTACATCATCGTTTATATCCATACAGAAAAAAAATCGTTTTTGAGATTTTCAACATCACACAATGCTTTTTCAAAGCTATGTATTGAGTTGGGGACTATGACTCGGCGCCAAAAATCAAAAAAATTTCTAAAACTTCTAGCAAACTTCGTCAAATAATACGCGTTTGATATCAGTAGAAAAGTTAGCTAATTCTCTACAAAATGACATTTAAAAGAAAACTCAAACAGCGTCTCAGCTCAAGAAAAAGCCATTTTTTCACAAAAACTACAAACTGTGATCTAGAAAAAACCATTGGTGGGATCTTCCTGCAAATTTGGCAACTTATGTAATTGAATGTGCTCTATCTTTTTTACATAGACACCAAAGAAGGTTTATGTGGAAGAAACTGTTCAAACGATGAGTCAGACTCTTTGCCATTTTGATCAGCTGCGTTTGAAAGTTCATAAACTCCACGAAAGAAAAGCTTTGTGGAATCTCTCAAAAGTCATTTTGTAGAGAAATAGTGGATCCTTTTGATGAAAGAAAACGTATATTTAAAGAAGGCTTTATGCGTGCAAAAAGTGTCTTTAAAGTTTGCCGCTGAGTCATAGTCCCCAACCCAATATGATAGTGTCAGTGGAATCAATTTTATGTTGTCTCGCCCATTGACATCCACAGTCCGTTCATACACGGGAACCGGAACTTTATCGACATTTCCTAAGTTGTGACGAGAAATGTTTAAGGCTTCAGCTGCGACAAACTTTCGGAAAGAAGAACATTTTTGCTGATGATCACTTGTTGTCCTACACTTGTCCCTCTTCGTATCGACAATTTTTTTCGTGCCATGAATAAGCTCCAACAACGCGGGGATGCCTTGAACTCGTGGTAACTCTTCTGCCTTGAACTCTTCTGCCAACTTCTTTGCTCTGGTTCTTATCTCATTTATTTTGACTGCTCTATTATGGTCTCTCTTTTGAACAATCCAATTGTAAATTTCGTCCTCAATTTCTTCCACGCTTGGCCTTTTGTAACGCCGGGCTCTTTTCGTTGCTGGCATCTCCTCGAGGATATCCCTATCCGCAACCCATTTTCTAATCATTCCTTCAGCAACATTAAAATGAATAGCTGCCGCTAATGTTCCATGCGCATCCCGGTGCTTCACCGCATCAAGCTTGAAAGCCACCGTATAAGGCTTGCGACGTTGCATGATTTCTACAATAAAAAAATATAAAACGTAAGGTTAAAAAACAAAAAAAAAATAAAAATAAGGAAAAAATTAATATCCATAAAAAAATTTCAGAAAAAAGTATTTTTTTAGCGAAAACCGCTCTTATCTATGGAATTTTAGGGTATTTTAAATAAAATATCAATCCGGGTTCTTGTTATTTGATATTAAATTAATATATCATAGGTTCTTGTATTAATATATTAATATATATGTTGTGTCCGATTTAGATTTCCGTCCGATTTAGATTGAACTTATCGCGGACGTCCGATTTAGATTACAGTCTATATCGGACGTCCGATTTAGACTCAATCTAAATAGGACGTCTTATATAGATTAAACAATAATATAAACATGTTTAATATATCTTCTTAAGCGTTTTCTGTAGCTTTCTGCATTTTTCAAAGGTCTGTTACTGTCTTTTTCTGAAAAGAAAACCCAACTATGAAATAATCAATAAAAGACCTTTGAAAATGCAGAAAACTACAGAAAACGCTTAAGAACATATACTAAACATGTTTATATTATTGTTCAATCTATATAAGACGTTCGATTTAGATTGAGTCGTCCGATATAGACTGTAATCTAAATCGGACGTCCGCGATAAGTTCAATCTAAATCGGACGGAAATCTAAATCGGACACAACATATACAATTTTACAATGTTACAGAAGTTCGATCAATCACAGGGTCAGCTCTAACCCTGTACTTCCAAAAATATTATTGTCAAAAGAAGACTTTAAAAAACAGAACAATTAAGTTTTTTTAAGTTTATGAAGTTTATGAAAAATTTCAAATTCCAGATGGAAATTTTGAAGCAAAATTTGAAGGAGAAGTTGGCGATGCAGCCGAAAAATGTCGATGTTCAGGTGTTGAGCTTTATTTAGCAATTGATCTAAACTTTTAGATACTCAAAGGCTTACTTTAGAGTCAGTCATAAAGTTTTTTTGTGTTAACTGAAGATTCTGAAAGGTGTTAAGTCATGTTGTGATGAATACTTGGATTATGGGGACTATATCAAAAGAGCGCTGCCCGCGCGGTTCAAAAGGGCGCCGTCCGCGCGGTTCAAAAGGACTCAAAAGAGCGCCGTCCGCGCGGTTCAAAAGGACTCAAAAGAGCGCCATCCGCGCGGTTCAAAAGGACCCAAAAGAGCGCGACTAGAGTTTTTCGTTTTTCTTGATGTTTTGCTGGTTTTTTATCTTTTATCAAAAGAATTTTTTTGCTGTTTGTTTTTATTGTCTGGTTTTTTAAATATAGGTAAAACACGTCGTCTACTTGAGAACGAAACAAACCAATTACTGTCTTTCGATAAGTTTTTATATTTTTTGTTGTTTGTTTTATTTATTGTTTAGTTTTTTAATTTTAAGCAAAATAACTCATCTACTCCTCAAATAACTCATCTACTCCTCAAATAACTCATCTACTCATCTACTCCATCTACTCAAAACACGTCATCTATTCGACAACGAAACAAACTAATTATTGTCTTTCGATAGTTTTTACTTTTTTAAACTATAGGTCAAAATTGTTCTTTATTATGATTAACGGTTGTTTCATTGTTCAATTGTTTTAGGGAAAAATAGCTTCGACGCAGCAGGAATTTAACTCGCTCGTCGACAAAAATTTTTGGTATAAAACAATGGCCGGCTCCAATTGATTGGCGCTCTTTTGAGCGTTTTGGCATTGGCGCCTTTTGATCACGGCACTCTTTTGAGCGTTTTTGCATTGGCGCCTTTTGAACAGCGCTCTCTTGATATAGTCCTGAATTATCAAATAGTGTAGTGAAGCACTGGATATTAGGGACTTTGCTAAAAGTGTTAGAAGTCGGTAATGCCTTTCAAAAAGTCTCACTTTTAAAAAACTACCATAATTTCATGTCCTGAATAAAGTATCTATCATCAATCTTGACCCCAAAACGTTGACAATGTTTATAAAGAAAGCCATTCAAAAGAACATCGATTTCAGGAGAGCTCATCGGATCGGAGAGTCGATCGACCCCGTTTGGACCACGATTACTTTCCGGAATACCTCATCGAACGACAAAAGAACGAGATCATGAGAGAACAAATCGATGTTTTGTTGAAACAGAATGGAATACTGGTTAGGAATGGACTCAAATTCGTGCACAGTGCAACAGAGTACAAGCAGCTTTGGTGAGTTTTGCGTTTCATTACTTTGTTTAATAGTACTTTGTTTAAGTTTAAAGAAAACACTCCTTTCGTCTACTGTAGTACTGTAACATCAAGATACTGTAACTGATGTAAATTTGAAAGAATTGTTTTTTCAGCGCCCTCAATTTGAAAGAATTGTTTTTCAGCGATCAAAGTGATACGATTTCTTTACAAGCGGCTTTCGGTGAACAAAATAGCTTCTTGGACGAGATCAATCCAGAAATGGAGTGGGAAAGTCAAGTGGTAAGTTTTATTGACAGTAAATTAGCCTGACCTAAGCCTGATCGCAAGAATTTAATCAAATCTAACTTTTAGAAGTACATGGAAGTGGCGGGAAAGCTTGAAAAGGGCCAAGAAATGGACAGAGAAATTATGGCTTTCATGCAAGAGGCTCAAGAGCTCGAGCGGACAAATCAAGAGATTAAAAGGACCGTTAAATCGGTTGGTTTTGTTTTCGAAAAGAAGGATTTCGCTTTAAAAATAACCCATTACAAAGCATATCAAAAAAGTTTTAGATTTTTGATGGCTTTGATCCGGAGAATACTTTCAATCTGGATTCACGTTCCGAAAGTTTTGAAAATCTCGAAATGAAATGATTATTTGATCAAAATTTGAAAATTTTCTCGTATTTCAGCTTTCCCACATTGCTATTTCTGTAACTAAAGCTTAAATTGAGCAGCAATTCTTTTTCATTTCCTAACCTCTTCACAGTTTTATTGTTAAGGCAAATTTTTCACTTTATTTTGTGATACGTGTGTAATTACGTGTACATATTTAGGATTCATGGTTCATTCCAATGTTCCAGAAAGCCAATAAGCATGATTGTTCGCTTTCTAGTCAGTTCAGAAGCTAGTTTCTGGTCTGGCTTATGGGATGGTCTTGGCCAGCAAAGCCTTGGCCAGCAAAGCCTTGGCCAGCAAAGACTTGGCCAGCAAAGACTTGGCCAGCAAAGCCTTGGCCAGCAAAGCCTTGGCCTTTTCTTTTCTAGCCTTGCTAGCTGAGCCTTTCTAGCCTGAGCCTAGCCTTGCTTTACCTAGAGCTCCCTTACTGAAACAGGTTATCAGACATTTGATACACGCCCTTTGCCATTGGCAATCTAACTTTGAGCTCCAATATCTCGGTGTTGGGCTGTCGAATTTCAATGTTCTTGATATCGCGGCCAATTGTTGCTTCAATTGGACGTTTTCCATCAAAAGTCGTTGGCATTTCTCCTTTTCCAGAGCCAAATCTTGCATGACGAGATCGAACTATAATTTGGAACCAATTTTCGATCAGGAGGTTTGGTTTAAAAACGATTGTAGGGCATTTGGTATCCCCCGCCCCTGCGATTGGCAATCCAACTTTGAGCCCAAATATCTCGGTGTTGGGCTGTCGAATTTCAATATTCTTGGTATCATTGAATTCGGCAAGTCTTTCTCTATCGATTCGTATCAAAACTATTTCAATTGAACAGCCTAAAGCCAAGAAATTTAAGCTTCAAGTTGAGTTGCTAATGGCAAAGGGGCGGGGCGCCAGGCTCCGCCCCTTTTTCGGTCCGTTTGCCGTTGGCAATCCAACTTTGAGCCCAAATATCTCGGTGTTGGGCTGTCGAATTTCAATATTCTTGGTATCATTGAATGCGCCAATTCTTTCTCTATCAATTGGTATAAAACTATTTCAATTGAACAGCCAAAAGCCAAGAAATTTGAGCTCAAAGTTAGATTGCTAATGGAAAAGGGGCGGGCGACGAACCTTTTATACGCGCCCCGCCCCTTTGCCATTGGCAATCCAACTTTAAGCCCAAATATCTCGGTGTTGGGATCTCCAATTTCAATGTCCTTGGTATCATTGGATTCGCCAAGTCTTTCTCTATCGATTCGTATCAAAACTATTTCAATTGAACAGCCTAAAGCCAAGAAATTTGAGCTCAAAGTTGGGTTTCCAATAGCAGTTAGCTGAAAACTTGTTTTTAAAACATCTCTAGTATTTCATCTTCACTTCCTCATTGCTCTCATGTTTCGTTTTAAATAAAATTCACTAATTTACCCAAAAAACATAACAATTAAGCTCATTGAATTCAATAAAATAAAGAAATTCGAAGAAACAACCTTTGTTCAGTCACCTATTTCTCCTATTTCTATCCCCGTCTCTCCAAATACACCTGTTTGAAAAGTTGTTTTATTTAATAAATCTTGAGTCAAAAGCATTCTACATTTCATTCAGAAGAAAGTTATTTTCTTTAATTTAAAAAAAAATGTATTATCCAAATGATTCGATAAGAGAAATAATGAAATTCTTGTTTTTTTCAATCGCATTTTGGGATTTTTTATTATGCATTATCACCTCGATTGTCGTCGTCTCCTATTCGCCGACTTTATTTTCCTCTTTTCGGATCTATCAATTGAATATTACGGTAAGATTTGTTGTTTACAAATACGGTAAATCTCTTGTCTTCTTTCTTCCCTCTTCCTTATCTTTCCCATTGCTCCTTGAGCAAAAGCTCAGTGGTAGAGCGCTTGCCCGGTGAGCGATGGAGCGATAGAGCGATAGGTAAAGTCTCTTTTAAGCTCTTCAACTTTACCATAAAGCCGTAGAGCTCTATTTTTTGCTTGTAAACGTCCTTCTAGTATACTCAATTCTTCATTTTCCTTCCAGCAATCATTTTTGGCCATGAAAAACAGGAAAACCCACCAGAAAATGATGCGTTTACACTCTCGAAAGCACTAAAACTCTCAGAGAAACATAAACCATGCCAATTTCAGATCTCAACCACTCTTTTCGACATAGTAGCCGGTTTATTCGGTCCCGTGCTCGTTCATCAATGGCTCTCAGCTTATTTTGTCGGTTTCATCCGGATTTCTGGCTTTCAAATTCACATCTTTGCGGTAAGCGATTAAAATCGATTAAGCGTTGAACTAAAATCATTGGAGACAACAAGTACCTTTAAAAATTCACTTTTGCAGTATTCTATGTAGTTTTAAAGTTTAACTCTTACCTGGTTTAGGTGACTTTTGAAAGTTTAAGTGACTTTTGAAAGTTTAAGTGACTTTTGAAAGTTTAAGTGACTTTTGAATAAACCGTCAAACTTCAAAGGCTTATAACTATTCTTAGAAATGATATCATCATTTACTTTTTATATATTTTAAGAGAAAACATTTCAGGCTTTCTAATGAGCCTAAAAAGACTTCAATTAGACCGGTCGATCTTGCGAAAATCAAATAAATTTACCATTACTTTGCTTCGTTTTTCTCTAGAGCGTTTCATCTGATTTCTTTCTTTTTGGTCTCATTAGAAAGTCTGAAATGCTTTCTCTTGAAATCTATAAAAAGTAAATGCTAATATGACTTCTAAGAAAAGTTATAAGCCTTTGAAGTTTGACTATCGATTCGAAGGTTACTTAAACCTTCAAAAGTCACCTAAACTTTCAAAAGTCACTTAAACTTTCAAAAGGCACCTAAACCTTCAAAAGTCACTTGAACCATGGAAGAGCGCAAAGTTCTACCCTATTTAGCCTCCTTTTTCAGGTGTTCTACATCGGCCTAATGATCAATCAAGGTTACGCAATAGTGACCGCATTTTTCTTCAAAATCAAATCCCTTTCGGCTGAGCATTTGCGCAAAAGAATCACCGATTTTCAAAAGATCGTCGTCTATTCAATGTATGGATCGATTCCGATTTTATTGCTTCTTTTTCTCATCTCCTATCCTACCAATATGATCGATGAAACAGCAAAAGCGGTAAATTTTTTGCAAAATTCATGCGTGACAGGTGACAGGTGAAAAGCCTGAAATGAAGAAATGAGAAAAGTTCAAAAATATCTGAAAATTGGTTCATGAAATTTCCGAATAAAATACGAATACGAAAAAAATGAAAAGAAAATTTTAGAAACCCCCCGTTCTATTCCAGATCGCCACCACTCCCGAGCTTTCCCCATTATCCAATGATCCAACGTTTGTCGTGTACATCATTCAAGGGAATCCCATTCTCTTAACATTCGTCATTCTGCTTGTTGCTTGTGGTGGGATTTGCGTTTTCACAATGACATTTCTTATGTATATCGCCGCGCATCAATTAACTTTAAACTCATTGGCTTTATCGCCGAAAACGATGTTGTTGCAAAAGCGAATGCTCTACATTTTGATGATACAAGTAAGGAATATTAGTAAAATTCGTCTAAAATCAACAATTCGCCAGTTTTGTGCTCTCACCTGTTCATTTGCTTTTCCATATGCGAGTTTTGTCCTTGTTAGCATCATTGAACGACTTGGGTTCCCAGTGGATTTTTACGATTACGGTAGGTTTTGTCTCGAAATTTAAATTTGAATACAGCTAGAAAGCTACGGAATTCTTTAGTTTCACCATTCATTTGTTTAATCGGTGTCACTCACTCGGGAGTTACCTCACTTGTCGTTCTTCTTTGCACGAAACCCTACCGCCTTGCCTTGTGGAACATGTTTCGATGCCATAAATTGATGGAGGGATTGTACGGAAGCACGACAGTTAGTTTTCCTTAATAAACAAAGCCAGAGTGGTACATGGTTCTCAAATCATGTTTCAGACTAAATCAATTTTGCCTGGTAATCAATCTTTCATCGCTTCAAATGCCCACACAAATGAAATGTTTATGAAACGAAGAGCTAACATCCAAGCAATGGCTTTCCTCTCACATCGCTCGGTGTCCAATAAGTAATCTTCAAATCGGTCAGTGGAATAAATCTTCAAATTTCCAACAACAAAGCGTTTATTCAATAAGAGTATTCATCAAATAACAAAACCAAACTTAACAAGTTTTTTAACCGATCTGTCCAAAAGTTTAAAGAAAACTAACATAACAACTGAAGTACCTGCCTACAAAATAAAAGCGAACGATAACCTTATTTCAATGGATCTAAAATGGCATCGCAAAATCGGGCTTGAAAACAAAGTGAAGAAGTTTGTAATCGTTTAATTCAGGCAATCCAACACAAACAGTCCGCTGCCAAGTGGAAAAAAACTCACCTGAAAAATTAAATTAAAATAGGGGATAGCTGAGAAAACTGACCTGTCTTTTCCGCAACCGAATCCGAGCCTGCAGTGAGTGCGACCTTTGCAACACTAACAAGATTGCGGAGATCGCTGTCCGAAGTCACGTCATGGCACTCTAATCCACGGACACTCGCACATTTAGCCAGTTGATGAGACAAATAGACGACCTGAAAACGTCGATCAATATATTCAAATTTCAGTCTTTAACTAAAGCTAGATTCTATAATGCTTAAATTCCGCTTAAAATCATAAAAATAAACTCACAGCTAGTGTGACAGCAATGCGATGCAGTTTCAAAAACGCGTCGGAAAGGAATTGCTCCAAATCGTGTTCACGAATTGCTACTTGAAAATCATCAAGTATCTCGTCAATCAATGTGTGCTATAAAAAACATCAGTGAAACAATACTAGTGTCACAACTTACCACAGTCTCATTTGGTGTATATTTTTTTGGATTCTCAAGGGCAAATCTGATGGCCTTGTAAAGACGTGGATGTTGCACAGCTCTTGTCAACTCAACCTAAATTCTGTGCATTACAAAGGTAGTTATCGTATGAAACTTACACTAGTATTTCCAATCGTCATCATAATACGAAGTATCTTTGAGTGATAACTGAACGAGAAATATAAGCCAGCTGGAACGTGGAACTTACACAACCACAATCGCCCAACATTTGATTATATCCATATCTCCGCAATGCCGATCCGATTTCAGTCCATTGCGAATCTCCATATTGATCTGGTTCATTGATTCCGCTTGGGAGTTTGGTTTTTTCTAAACAGAGTAAACTCATAAGTTCTCCAAAAAAAATCTCTTCACCGATCCAAGTAAGTTCTGAGCCTGGCGACAATTGTTCTCAAAGGCTCTGAAAATATATTAGTAAGAGACAATGTAACGGAAAAATTCAACCGAGTGAGCGTTCCAATATCCCAGGTTTGTTTGTGCACAAGCTCTAGTACATCTTGCAAATTTGGGCCAGCCTCAAAGATCTAATTGAGTTTGATGATAAAATAACTTGGGCAACTAACCGTAGCTGCAATAGATTTGTGGCTGCTTGTCGAAGGCGTATTAACACTTGTGTTACTCGCTGATGCCCTTACAACTGGAGAATTCATCTGAACACGGGGAGACATAGCAGGGCGATTCACGGATACATTCCCTTTCGCTGGCTTTTGCAATGGAACCTCAATCACCTACGAATAAGAAAATTTTATATAAAGTATAAACAAATACCAGTGGCTCATCAGGCACTTTTAGAGTCGGCTTTTTTAAATTTGAAGGTTTTGCTGAAGTCGAATCTTTAACCATTGAGTCGTTGTTGTCGAACGTCTGTTTAGAGACAGGCTTTTCCTAAAGGGTACACGTGCGGCAAAAGTAAAACTATTACCGAAAGTTTTATTTTGGTTCTTGTCGACTCGATCACTTCAGCAATCGCTGTATCGTAATCCTTGGCCGTGTCTAGTTTCATGTGTCGGGAAATCAAAGCGTAAAGTTCCTAAACAAATTTAGAGTTTTATGTTTTAACAAGATTTAACACACAGGTCCCATATTATCGTAGCCACAAGCATGTTTCTGTCGAACTTTTTCAATCGACGCCTCAATGCCTGAACATTGAATTTTCTAGAAATAAGAAAAAACAAACATTTGCAGATTTGGCCAGAGACTCCACATTTCGAACAAACATTAACATTTCCGTGGGTCTTTCCCTTCTTTTCTCCTTCACCACTCCATAACTTGATCATCGCGTTTACGAACGCAGAACAACGTCCCCTAAATTAAAACACATCAACGAAGCACTTGACAAAACCGACCTCACTGCTGACTCCATACAGTTGAGAAGCGAATATCCCGTGAAGTACATTGCACTCGGAATCCCATGAGCAAGCTGACGATCAATTGTCCTTCCATCTAAACAGACTAACTAATTTAAAACATTCACAAAGCAAAACCATAGTCATCAATGATTATGAACACTGGAGGAGGCTTCTTTTCAATGGCGTCAATGTCTTTTTTAGCCTAAAGCGGTACTAAATTGTTATACAAAATTTGCACACCTCTTCTCTAGTTGCAGATAAAAACGAGAATTTCTTTGCAAAAATGAGCCCTTCGTTCTCCAGGTTGACGCGAAGCTTTTCACAACGTTTCCTAAAGTAAAATAAGTACAGAAATTTTCAAAAACTAACAGAACAGCCTCTTCTGTGCGTAGGCTTTCCGTTGTAGATCCAATCTTGATGACATAGAAGTTGCGAGGGATCTAAAAACGAATGAACATGAACAAAGGAAACGCAAAATTCACCAATCCAATTGCTTCCTTCAAAGAATCCATTCTTGATGAGAAATCGACAATGAGCTAGGCTTGTTTCTAAAGTTAAACGTATAAGTTTCACGAAACGTTCAGCAAAGAAAGAAATTTAGATGAAATTCGTTCAAAAGCTATTGTAAGTTTAAGCCAAAAACAGTTTTTCTAGGGTTTTCGGCCACGCTAAATCGATTGGTAATATTTTTAGAACGTGTTTGTGACTTATTTCTTAGCGGTCGAGGCAGACCTAGCTTATGTCCGGTAACAGGCAGCCAGTCTTAACCTGTGCCTGGTCAATACTCGAACGTGTTTAAGCATGCTAGACTGTGCTCGGTCAGTACGCTATATGTGTGGAGCATTAGCCCAGATAAATAACACGCAAACAACGCGGGAGCGGCAAAGAGGGAGGTATGTAACACGTCTAGCCCCTTAACAACACTCGAGGCAGCATCAAGCCTATGCTCAGCCAGTACTCTGAGAGCCATAGGCTAGTATAAGCTTAGTGTAGCAAGGACAAGCTCTGAAAATATTAACGATCGATTTAGGGTGGCCGAAAACCCTAAAAAAACTGTTGGTACTAATAAATTGAGGGGGGCACTTTTTTCTTCAAAACCACTTTTTCTGGGGTAATTTTATGTGTAGATCCCGAAAAACACAACGGGCGCTTGGGAAAATGCGTTTTAAGCCAAGTTTCGGTGCTCCAAAGTGCGGGCTTCTATCATGTACTTCACTTTGTAGAACCCAAGCTATCGACTATTGGGGCACTTTTCAAGGTCAAAACTGGCGCCAAAACCATTTTAACCACTAAATATTCATTTTCTAACTTAAATTGGCGCTAGTTTTGCCCTTGAAAGTGCCCCAATAGTCGATAGCTTGGGCTCTACATAGTATACTACAGAAGCACGCACTTTGGAGCTTCGAAACTTGGCTTAAAACACATTTTCCCAAGCTCTCGTTGTGTTTTTTGTTGTATTGCTAAATTGAGAAAGAGTTTCCAATGCGATAGGTGAGAGTAAATTCGCGCTAACCGGTTTACTATAAGAAATGAGAAAAAACGAGAAAATAAAGAAGTTTGCACCTTTTAAATTCCTTTTGTGACTAAAAAGTGTGCAAACTTTCAATTGAATATCTTTTTGTTTCTTAAAAACTCGGAAAGGAAAATCCTGGCTTCTATTTATTTCCCCACCTCTCTTCTACCTGCCACAATGAGCTGCAGTCCTTTGAAGATTCACCCAGTTTGTTAACTTTTGATAATATTTAATCTAATACATTTAGCATTGCCGTTTCGCTGTTCATATCATTGCGGTCATTGGGAATGTGCTGCTTTTCCTTGCATTCGTCGCCATTTTTACTTCGCATGTTTACTTGTTGGCGAAACTATACAGGTTGGATTTAGTTTCTTTAGGATCAGAAAAGATTGATATTTTTTCATGAATGGCTGGCATGGCTTTAAGTTAATAGTTAGCCATCTAAAGCCTAAAGTTAGCCATTCACTTATTACCTAGGTGGCTAAGCTACTTTACAAAATTGAGATTAATGTTGATTTTGATGCTAATATCAAGTTTTTAGAAACCAATCGATGATCCTCATTCTCAATTCTGGTCTCATTTTTGTGCCTCTCCGCTTTGCATCGATTCTAATCGTTTCCACGGTGTGGTCGAACTTTTGCAAAATGATATGCCTTTTAGATGGCAGCATGGTTTCACTTATTGGCAGCGATTCGTCTAATTAAATACTTTTTTGCACAATTTCGTAGCATCACGAAATGTTCAGGTTTCCGGGTTGGATCGTAGTTTGTTATGTTTTTTTAGACGAGGCGTTGAAATCATATTTTTATTGTTTCTTCACTGCATATCTACTGATTTTCTGCTCGTATTCACTCAAGAATCTACCGAAAGAATTTGAAAACGGATTTAAGCAAGTTGGCTAGTTTTTTTCTTTTAAATATTCCTTGTTTACAGGCGATTCGTACTTATAATTATTCGTCGGTGGCTCGAGAGGCTATAGATCAAGTACAAGTACAGTTATCTTGAAAGATACAAATTTTGTTCCTTTCAGAAATCGTATCAATGTTGTGGGTTGATACACGGTCAGGATTACTACATTTTATCGAGAATGGGCAAAGAATTTCTTGGGTGACTTTTATCTTTTTTAAAGTTAATGTATATTTTAGGTTTGGCAGCTTTGCTCTGTGCAATACAACTTCAACGTCGTCATGTTTACCCACTTCATGCTGTCGCTCTAACGATTGCCACTTGGTAATTTTTAAAATTTCGACTGATATGCTTAATATCTATAGACCAGTATCAATAAGACGACTTTTAACGAAACACTTTACGATGCGGGTAAATTTTTTAAAGCTTTAATTTTGAAATAGTTATTTTTTTAGGATGTGGAAAGGCATTCCGTCAAGATCACAACGTTTGGCTATTTGCTCCAATTGTTTTAGCAATTTTCCTAGTTCTACAGGTATTTATGATATTTTTGGTTTGCTAAACACCGATTTTTAGATTATCTCCGCTCTTCTTATGAACGTATCTTATTCGGCTTATGGTAATTGCAATTTTAAAAGTTTAAAATCTGTCATTCAGCTCTCTCCGATGGATTAAAATTTGAAACTGGCAAGAGCGTTCAATATTTTCTAATGCCTTGGCCAAATGTTGAAGCTTATGTGAAGGTAAATTTAATAGTTTGGCTGCCTAACTAAGCATGTGATAGAGACGCTATCGTATAATGAGGGAGACGTGTATATCGGCTGAAACATTGGCTCGAGGTGAATTATTTTTCAGTTTCCTGATTGACATTGTAATTTAGAAGAAGAATTCTCAAGAAAACGTCAAAAACTTTATCAGAAACTCCGTGAATCTGCGACTTCTCGCGAGAAGAATTCGAATGAAGAGGCCAATAAATGAAGCATTTGAACCTTTATCCATTTTCCTTTGTTCCAGTTAATAAAAGATCTCATTTCTCAGATTTTGAAATCAAACGGGGTTGCGAAAGCCCAAAGCCTACACGGCTGTCCTATTGGTGAGAAAATCGTTTGCGGAGAGAGGCGTTTTACCATGAAATGCCGGGAAAAGAAAGTGAAAGGATGATTCGCTGGAAAACAATCCAACAAACATCCAAGTTTTGTTTTACCATTCTTATCGAAGTAAAAATCGAAAGTATATGATTTCTAAAAAATCGTCCGTCGTACCTTAACCAAATGCAATACTTCCATTTGTCTTTGTTTGTTTGTTGCCCATTTTCTAATGTTTCTTTTCCAGAATGGCTGACGATTTCGACTATTTTGACTCGTTCGATGTTATCAAAAATTTGCCGACAACTTTTTACAGCGATGAGGGTGGAGTGAATAGCAAGAAATGGCAGGAACGAAAAGACGCTTTGGAGGTAGTTTTTGTGTGCGTTACTTAGAGATAAATTGACTAAGAAAAAAAAAATAAGTAAACTAGATAAAAATAAGCTTTTAAACAAAGTTTGTTATTTGGGCACTCGCGAAGCTCATCTCCGACAATCCGAAGTTCGATTCGAAGGCCAACTATGGAGAGTTAATTAGCACACTGAACAAGGTAGTTTTTGTTGCCAATGTCTTAAATCTCTGTGCTTTAGCTACTTGGCAAAGATTCAAACGTCAATGTGAATGCGGTAGCAGCCCAATGTCTCGCCGGAATCGCTTACGGACTACGTACCAAGTTTGGACCATATGCTTCGACGGTAAAAAGACTTGTTACTTATTTGTTTCAACAGCTTTTTAGGTGTTACCAACTGTAATTGAGAAGCTAAAAGAGAAAAAGGCGCTGCTTCGAGGACCGGTTGTTGAGTGCTTGGATAAAGTTGCATTTACGGTAGCGTGGTTTATTTTAACATTAAAAATTCTTGTTTAGACTTCACTTGATTCCCTTCAAGAAGCTCTAGTTGGTGGATTGGAGAACAAGAACCCGCAAATCAAAGCCCAAACAGCAGCATTCCTTTATCGTGCCTTCAAGAAGTACTCGGATAATACAGGAAAAGCCACACTTAAAGCTGTTGCCCCAATACTTGTCAAGGTAATTTACCGTAGTTTTTCTTGAATTATATTTTAGAATACTTTGGACGCGGATCATGAGGTTCGATCAGCATCTATTGAAGCTTTGGGATCAATGCTTCGAGCAACGGGCCCCGGAGGAAATGCCTTGGTTAAAGAAATCGCCGAAGATAAAGCTCGAATGGAGAAAGTATGTCGTTTTTGAATATCATAGCCATCTATCTGGATTTTAGGTCCAAGCAGCTCTAGAGCAAGCGAAATTAGAAGTTGCCGAAGAACAAGCGCAAGAACCGATAGCAGCAGCTCAACCAACTGTCAACCATGCACAAGCGGGCGAAGAGCAGACATCTACAGCAGCGGTCTCTGCTCTCGAAGCTGTCGATCCATTCGATTTTCTTGGTAAGTTTTAAATTGCTCGGTGCATAACGTCGAAATCTAGACCCATTTGATGTTGTATCGAAGCTCCCGTCTACATTCTATGACGATGAGGGTGGCGTTATGAGCAAGAAATGGCAAGATAGAACGGGAGCTCTTGAGGTTATATAGTTTTGAGGTTGGCAATTAATCCGCATTTTAGGCGTTATTGAAGTTAATGGTCGAAAACCCAAAGCTAAATCCAAAGGCCAACTATGGAGAGTTGATTGGAACTTTGAACAAAGTATGTCGGCTTTTATGCAATTTATATAATTTTAAAATTTAGCTACTTGCAAAGGATTCCAATATCAATGTTGCAGCGCTGGCGGCAAAATGCCTCGGTGGTATCGCTTATGGGTTAAGGAGAAAGTTCGGACCGTATGTTCTCGGAGTGAGTTTAAGTTACAACGCTTTTAAAGTTTTCCTTAATTATAGGTTTTGCCATCAATTTTGGAGAAGTTCAAGGAAAAGAAGTCGCTGCTAAGGGATTCACTTGTTGAATGCATCGATCGCGTTGGAGCTACGGTAAAAACCGATAGTCTATCTAAAACCATGGTTGGTCTTTTAGGTTGATTTTGAGACGTTGGAAGAAGGATTGACACAAGGCTTGGAAAACAAAAGTAAGGATTTACTTTTAATTAATAATCAGCTAAAAGTTAATTTTAGATCCACAAATCAAGACTCAAACCGATTCCTTCGTCGAACGATATTTGCGCAAACCAACTTCACAGATAAAGCCGGAGAAAATCAAAGGGATTTGTGCGCACCTTGTGAAAGTAAGCAACTCATTGAATTTTCTGGTTTATTAACGTTTTTAGCATACCGGAGATCCTGATGTGGAAGTACGTGAGGCTGCTTACAACGCTCTTGGTTCAATTCAACGAATTATCGGCGAGAGGGTGCTTATGAATTGGTGTCAAGATATTGCAACGGACAAGATCAAAATGGCGAAGGTTTTGTTTCAATGGTCTTTAATAATTTATTCGTTTTCTAGGTTAATGAAGCAAGTCAAAAGTTGATTCACGAACTTGGCCCCCATGTGCCCGTCGCGGCTAGCCATCCCTCAACTTCGACTGCTTCCGATCAGTCATCAAAGAAGTCAGTCCGGCCAAAGTCATCAAACAGTAAGCAATGCGCCGAAGAGAAAAATATTTTTGTGTAGGCAGCTTATCCGTTGTGGAATCTAAAAAGCAGAAGATCACGAAGGAAAACAAAGTTAGAGGTAATTTAATTTGATTGAAACTATGTGAATTCTGTTTAGAATCCGCCCCCATTGTGCCCGTTGTGAAAGTAGAGAATCGAAAGAAAACTCCTGCTGTACAAAATGGAATATCCAACAACATCACCAAGAAAGCGCCGCTCCCTTCTCCACCGACATCCGCTCAAGGGAAACCACCGAATGCATCACGGAAAGGTTCCTTTCTCTTAGTTCTTGATATATCTAAATTCTTTTCCAGTATGCTCGCAAGTGACGTCAGCTCGAAGCCCTCGATTGTACAAAGAAGTCGACTTGACCGGCTCAAAGATGCCCCGTTTCCGTCCGAACACTGCATAATTCAATTTTGTCTATAAGTTCTAGTTCTTGCAAATCATTTAGTGTCTGCCATTTTCTTTTAAAATCGCCTACTATGATGTCATTTTTATTCTGTGATTTTCATTCCCAGGTGTTCATTACTCAATGCCCATGCATTTGTTATTCAGTGTTCCATTTTGACCTTTTTACTTTTATTTTGGTATATATTTTTTGCATGATTGATAAACATTAAATTTCAACGGTAATCATTCATTTCAATTAGACATAATTGGAAACTGTTTTCTAAAATTTGGATAGTTTCGACGAGAAGTGCCAGTAAGCAATTTACATTAATTAGCATTATCTTGGCTCAGGTGCAAATTTCGAAATGAATTTTGATCATTCTTACATTTTTCCAACAACAAACATCTTTTATTTAAAGTAAGTGCTTTAGTTATCTTTATTTTAAAGTTATTAAGCTTGTTCGAACGTCCATTTATCTTTTGCTTTAGTAAGAATGAAGTCTAATTCAACGAAGAGTGGTGTCTCGTCTTGCAAATCAATCCCCGTGCCAAATGTGATCGTCTCTCAATTGCGCGTCAAATGCCATTGTTGCCATCGAGAAATCAATGAAACACAGTGTTCAGAGGTAAATTCATCTATTTTGCGGATAACAAAGTATTTTGTGATCGTTTTAAAAGTTAACAGTTAAAGTTAAAAGTTTTTGGAGTGATTGTATACGTTTAATGAATTAGTCGCGGTTAAAACATAACTAATTTTATGCTTAAAGCCTAAACAGAGCAAAGATTAAGATAAAAATTGAAAGATTTAGAAAGATTAAAGATTTAAAGATAAACTTGTCTTCTATAACGTCATTTTTAAAGATTATCTCTATTGATTGCTTTAGAAAGGTGGCGTTTTATCGATTTGCGGTCGTTTTCTACATGAAGAGTGCTTTGCGTGTGTCTCGTGCAAGATTCATCTTCTGCAACCGCATCGAATTCCATTCCGGTAGTGCCTGATCTTTATATTAAGTGCTTTTCATATTTTAGATTTTCTAACGAAACCCTCATGTGTCTTGATTGCTTTCAAATCGCTTTTCATCCCAAGTGTACAGGTGGATTTTTGTTGTAGCTTTTTGTTGTAGCTTTATATTAAATCAAATTGCTTTAGGTTGTGGCTGTGTGGTTCGTGAGAGAGGATATGTGGCAATGAACAATTTGTGGCATCGTCAGTGTTTCCGATGTGCTCGATGTCAACAAGTGATGCCTGGTGAGTGGTTTTATTATTTATTTATAGGAAACGATAGAAAAAGTAAAAAAAAAGTAATAGAAATAGTAAACTTTATTACATTGCTTGACTAGAAGCGGGGAAATATTTTCATTTTTGTGGAGTCAAAAAACCATCGATCACTTGCTTTTTTATCTACATTCATATAAATCCTTTCGAATCATTTTAAAGCAATCAACCGGTGATTCTTGGGTTTTGTGGGCATTCTTTTCAAGCGTCTTGATGGCTCTTCTTTCTTTCAATGGAAATTGCCTGAGTGATGGCTCTTGTTGTTTTTTCCCTGTCTTTCTCTACTTTTTACTGCCACCCACCCGTCTAAAATTCAATTTTCAACTATTTATAATTTTGTTCACGTTTTAAAAACAATTTTGTGCTTATCTCTGCCAAAATCTCCATTCAGTATTTAATACTTTTGTGATTCTTTATCATTTTACCAGAGCAGAGCTTGGTAAAATGATAAAGAATCACAAAAGAACAGTTCATTTGAAACTAAGTTTGTGCGGATTTAAGTAGCAGAACAAGAGTAGAGAATAAACAATGCAAAATTTAACATTGTTAGTAGCAAAACAGAAGCCATTTGAATTGTTAAAGTAAAGAGTGAAATTGAGTAATAGTAAATTACTTGTTAATAGTAGATTTTCCTCGGTTTCTCTCCTTTAAACTTAATTCATTCAGTCTCGACTTTAACGATGTGAACGGGGTTCCTTTCTGCACGGATTGCTCGTTCATCATCCAACTTGAGGCAACGATTCCGCCAAAAGAATAGCAAACGACTCAGTGAATTGTGAATGATTGTAAATTATTGTAAATAAAGATTTAAACGGGTAAAAAGCTTAGTTCTTTGATAAAATGACAACTTTCGTTGAATTATATTAAATTGCTTTTGTTATTGCGAAAACATTCACAATTTTGTGGTTTTTATTCAATATCTATTATCGGGATAGGCTACTTTGCGCCAAATTTTTTGCGCAACTGGGTCTTTGCGTAACTCGCCATAATCTCCTTCTAAGTCGGGTGAATCTTTATGGATTTTGGTTTCATTTTTGTTACACTTACAGTCATGCACAAAAGTCTTGTAACATCCTTGCCGAATTGACTTTTCATCATGACGACTCCGTCGCTCGCATTGAGATCCTTGTTATTTTTGTGAGCTTTGACGAGCGCTGTATCCTCTCTAGGTTGCAATTGGGGGACGACCTGATTTTAAAGCTCGCGAGCAGATCCAGTCGTTTTGAACGTCCGGACAATTATAGATACAGTTTTTCACTGCATTTGAAGAGAGCTTTCCCTGAATTCCTTTCTCTCGCGCTTCCACAATTTTTTTCTTTGTCCTGAGTTGACAAATATTGTCCAGGCATCTAAAAAAAAATAATTTTTGTTTTATAAAGGGAAAATAAAAAAAAGCAAAATACTTCAAATGTTACGAAGACTTTGAGCACTAAAAATACGCCCATGTGTTTTTATTTGTTTTTCTTAATTTTTGTTAATCGTTTCAATAAAGTTTTCTTGCATATAAAAATAGAAATTTTTGACAACTCAAAAACCAAAAACTGTTTGGGAATCTGCTCCTTTGCAAAAAAGTTATTACACTTTGAAATTCCGCTAAACTGGATGTTACAAGACTTTTGTGTATGACTGAAGTGAGGTCTACAAAATCATAAAGATTGGCTGACTTAGGAAGAAAGTTATAGCGAGTTGTGCAAATAAAATGGCGGAAATTAGCTCTACCCCGATTATCGAATAGAAATAATCGATCAAATAATAGTGCTGGAAATTAATTCCGAGACAGATTTGATCTTTGACAACGAAGCAATAATTCGAACCATTCACATTTCTATCATTTGAATTTTTAGATTTTAATATGTTTTTAGGAGAAACGATCAGCATTTACAGCAAATTTGGATTAGTTTTATTTTTCTGAGGCTTAATCTATTACTTTCAATATTTGTAAAATTGCATTAACATTGTAAACAGATGATGCCGACGATCGAGTGACCTATCAGGGGGGGAACAATGCGGAAGGGGATTTTTACGACGAGTGCCAACGGATCTTTATGGACTTATTGAAAGAGCATGTAACGGTTTCGAGATGTATAGATGTAAATAGAAAATGATTCTTTACCCACAACTGATTGGTTTTGAGCTTAAATACATCTGCGACGATACGGCCCACTGGTGGAAAGA